TTAATGGACCACATTTTTCTTCGACAAATTCGAAGAGATTACGAAGACTACGTCATTAGTATAATTCATAAAAATCACATTTTCATTTGATGTCCTAAAACCGAACAAACATCTTAAGTTTGAATAATACTGAAAAAATAGATAATTACATGAAAAGTGATCATAATAAAATCACGAGATTAAAGATGTACAAAATGTTCAAATTTCTTAAAACAGAACAAACATCTTCAGTTGAAAGAAGAATACCGAAAAAAAAAATGTTCACAAGAACAACAGCAACAAAAATTTGTTGTGGTTTTTAGAGTTGGAAAGAGAAGGATCCAAAACGAAATCGATTTGTTGTCTGCTGTAATTGAGTCATAAATTTTCCCGCTGCAAAACTGTATGACAAGCAAAATGGGATAATTTTGATTTTTGCTCGGCCGAGGGAAAAGCGTCATAAATTACAGGTGTCAGGTGATTTTGCTGTCGGATTCAATTAAGACCTTGATTAACGTCGCGCCAATACATCTAATTTTCTTATGCAGTTTTATTTACCGAAAAGATTGCTGCTTATTTAGATTAAATAAAATTAGTGTAGATATTTAGAAAACGCTTCAAATGTAATTTACTAGTCAATGAATTTTCTGTTTCCTTCAATGTGAATTAATATTTCATAAACTATTTGTTGTATTATAAATATTGAATGAACAACAAAATCTTAATTACAATCACTGCAAATTGTAGCACGTTTCAAAGTGTACTCAAGTAATATCAAAACTAAGTTTTATTGTTTTGCCCAAAAAAACAACAATAGTTTGATAAGTTTCTCGAAAGTTTATTATCGACGGATTTCACCGAATTATTACATTATCTCGGCCAAAACAACCTATGCAAATTAAATTCCAACTTTGTTGTAGGAAAATTGAAGTACTCGAGTTTACCCAAAAAAAAAACATAAAAATTCGCTCATGTAAATATTCTACTCAAAATGTATTCAATTCCTAATTGAAAATAAATAACAGAAATTCTACGTTAACCCTAAGAGTTTTCTTGTATAACCGAAAATAAATTGCTTAAAGTTTATGAAGACATTTAATTATGATTACTTGCGTAAGTACAAGTAATTTGTTGTGCAAATATTGTTACTTGACACGTAACATCAGTATAATTTCAAAATATTGAAAATCAGTTATATAAATATTTAACAACAATTACAACACTGCGCTTTTAAGATCAAACTGAAACTATTACTTAATTTCAGTTTTATTTTTTTTTTATAACATAATTTGGACGGTGGAATTAATAAAAATACTTTATTAAAATAAAATTGGATGTACTCCAAAAAACTATGCATCAAAGATCTCGCACATATCTGAATTACGTAATCTGTTTTCGCCACCTATTATCATTAGAACGTCTCCTTTCTTACAAGATTTGTTTCTTAAAAAAAAAATTATGTGTGTGTGTGCAACTCGAAGTTTGAACGCAAACGATTCTCTTCATTACGCGATTCGTCGAAAATCCCTATCGCAAATCTGCTCTAATCTAAATCTGAATGCATTTTTTATATAATTAGATTTTCGATCCGGGACACGAAAAATGCAACAGCAATTGTGAATAAGGAATAAAGTAAAAATAGTTTCATTTTCCGCGAGTTGCGGAAGTGAAAAACGCATCTAATTACGGCCCTTACATCGTCGCTGCTTTATTTTCTCCCACTCGACCACCCTCGAACAGCGTTTATGCAAAAAAGAAAATACCGATCGGCGGACGGAGAAAGATTCGATTTTAGTTTAACCCTTCCACATTATTAATTTTCTATTATTTTTTTTTCATATTCCTCTGTTCACAAATTTGAAATGGTAATGTGCCCTACGACCTGGCGCTGCTTCCTAACAAATGGCGTTTGTTTTTAAAATATACAGGGTGATTCACTGCGGGATACAAAGGCAGCGGCAGGAATCGAGTGGGCTTTGTGTCATTGGTTTGGAGCGAAATTTATCGAGGTTATGCATCATAAAGCATTTCGAAGTCAGTTAGCGAACGCTCGCCAAATTCACACGAAACTCCTTCATGTGGAAAACATGAATAATCCTTGCTACTTTATTTATTAACGTTATTGCTGCTATTACGCTCTGCATGTACATTGGGCTTACGTTTAGGAGTAATTGAAAACTTGCTTATTGATCCAAAGAATAAAATTAAGTTTCTTGATTTAAAAATTACATTCAGAAATCTACAAATTAATCTTAATTTGACTTAAACTTAAGTAAATTACAACACTTATTAAAACTGTCAAAAATATTTTAGCCATAATTACATGAAATTTAATTTTAAATATTTAAAAAAAAAACATAATTTAAGTACTTGAAAAACTGTCAACTAAGTCACAATACTAGTTAAACTGTCATTATCTGTCAATTAACTGTCATTAACTGTCAAAAAAGTTTTAACCTAAATTACATATAACTATCAATTTTGAAAGTCAACAAATTATAAATGTAGTTTCTATATAGATAAAGAATAAGTGAAATAAATGAACAAAAAATAAATTACATAATTATACCATGAGATGCATCGAATTCACAACAAATTAATAAACTAGCATAATTGTCGCGTTCGCTAATAATTCTTTCTTCGAAACTTGCGTACATTATTCGGTATCACAGCAAAGAGAGAACATGCACACACAAACAAGTCATTTAACGTACACAGAGTGAATCACACTATCGGAAAATCAAGTGGGTATATGTCATTACCATAAAAGCGGATTGAATATGCAAGAAAATTTATATGTAATGCATTTTAATGCTGTTTTTCTCTCCTCTCCCAGCAAGTGTTAATTTTTATATCCTTGTACAGCGATAACCTATTTTATTGAAAATTAATTTTCTCTTACGTGCAAAACGCTCCATGCCGCAATAACTTCAATTAAGTTTGCAGTTTACTTTTCCATTTTCAAATCAAATAGAGTTTTTGCAAAGAAATAATTAATATTAATAATTGTAATTGTTAAAAGCAATCCGAAGATATTACCGATTTGTGAATCATGTTTCAATAAAATATAGTTATTTCAGGGGATTCTGTACGAGGAAGTAAAATTCACCAAAAGCCACAGGAAATACCCATCCACAATAATAGACCAGATGCGTATAGTGTTACACGGAAACGAAGACAGGGGAATATCTCTACATCCGTCAAGAGTTTAACAAAAGACTGCTTTTCCCTTAAGATAAACTCTATTTCAAAAATCTCGTGTAACTTAATATTCAAATACAAATTTAGTATTCCAATATTAGAGAAACTAAATAATATATTTAAATATATGGATATTTCATTTGAACATTCGTGGATTTCCAGAAAAACAGTGATTACAGTATTTCTCGATGATTACGTACAGAAATATTAACATTAGATAAGCAAATTAAAACTAAGATTATAGTAAACAATATAAGTGTATACAGAACTTAATGTGATTGTGATAATGTTAAATGCTGAATTTGTGAAATTTTGAATCATTAAAAACCAATTTGTTTTGCGTATTTTTCGTCATACAACACTGTAAATATTGGACATACAAAGGAAAGCTAAATATATAAAGATTGAAATAAATATCTTACTAATTTCTGTAAATTATCAGTGGATTTTGTAAAGTTTTAAAGATTATAAGAAAGCATTAACTTTAAGTACTTCTGTTACACTGTTTACAATACAATTAACATTGAATAAGTAATATAAAGCTAAGACTGTTAGGAAAACTATGAATATGCGTGTACGTAAGAGTTCTTTGTGTGACTTTTGTAATTCGATTTGAAAGTTGAATTTGTGAAATTGTAAGCGTCTAAAAGTGAATTTCTTAATGAGTAAAGCATAATTAATATTCGAAGTAAAGTAATGAGTATTTATGAAAGTTTGTGGATTACCAAAAAAAATCTATCACAAGTTGAATTTGTAACTGAAGTATACATTATTTCGAAGTATTTAAATACGAATATAAGTATGCAAATTAAAGCTATAGAAGAGTAGACAAGTTTCTTGTGACGGAATGATATCTAAATAAGTTCTAAACTACTACAGTGTTCCAGAAAAATAAATACATCTTATATAAACGATTGTTAGTAAAGTAGACACAACAAATTATCATCATGTAGATGCGAATAGAAGTAAAGTGAATGCATATTAATTAAGCTGCGAGAAAAATATAAGCCGTAGTTATCAACAATATGCGTATGTTCTCACTTTCTTCGTGTGTTGCAAAATTAAGATAATTTGATTTAAGCTAAGGAAATCACACTTGAAAATCATGTGACTCATTCATGCAATGTTTACGTTTCTCATATATATATATATTTTTCCTTTCTTTCTTGTTCTACTCTCTTTGTTTGTTTTGCACACCGAATGCGATTAGCCAATTGGGGGGTTCTTATTTAAACAGTAGCAAAAGATTGCTCCTTCGCAGTAATTGTTTGTTTTGTTTTCTGTATGCATGTATAAATTAAATTTGGAGCTACGATTTGAATTCGCGATAACGCTGTTTGATAAAGTACATTATTAGGATTTATTTAATCGCAGATTTATTTATTTATTTATGTTTTTTTTTGATGCTCGGAGTGTGTCGCATCTAGGTTATGTTTATTGAGAATTTACAAAAGGGGGGAACCTTGTTGTGTTTCTCTTTTCGTGCTCTTATCAGTGGCCAGCCAAGGCCTACTACCGCTTGTTAGTTAGTACGACTGCAACTATACTGCCCCTGCGTTTTATGCTCTTAACCTAGTTGACAGGTCGGTTTTTGTTTTCACGTCCTGCTCCGCATTAAGGATATATTAAAAAGGATGCATGAGAGCGTGCGACGGAGGACTTTGATTAATCTTCCTACAATGCTCTTTCTTCGCAGCCTTCTTTCGTTCGTTTACGTTTTGTTTTTGTTGTGTTTTATATTTTTTTTTTCCCTTAGTATGTGTATGCGTGTTTTTCGCTTGTTTTGTTTCTGTCCCTGTCCAATCATAAGCAGTGTTTACCTTAGTCTTGGTCACTATGTGCGTTGCCAGTTTAACGACGGCGAAATTTCCCTTGCCGATGGTCTTCTCGAGTTCGTAGTAGCCCACACGCACCAGCTTCTCCACCGTGCACTGCTTTTGGGACATTTTCACGGTTTGGATGTTACCGCAAAACTGGATTTCGTCCCGGGAACCGACCTCCGATCACTCTGGCTTCATGGGACAGGAAGGCACCACTCGCACTCTCGCACCTCTTTCAGCAAATCTGTTTCGTTTTTGCGTGTGTCTGGTCTACACGACGGCTACTGGATGGTACAATACGTGCGAATCCCGATGTTGTCATACTGCACACTGATCGAATGCACCGCTGCACCTCCAGATACCGCCACCTCACGTGCTCTAAGATCCCACCACGTTTAGGAAAATTCTTCATCGTGATATATAGGCAACACACATTACGCCAACATTCAAAAACAGGTTCTGCATACGCATGATGCATCATATCATAAAATTATCGTGGCCGACCATTTTATTATCATCTATTCTATAATTAATATGTATATTTGTTAAGTCTATCACTTTCCTCTTAATTATTACAAATTATATTTAACGTATCAACCAAATATACAAACGGATACTTGTTCGTGCCTTAACAGCCTTCTTCCGCCCTTAAATATTTGGGTAGGATCATAAAACTTAGGTAAAGAAACGGTTGTATTTTCCACAAGCTCAAAACTGATTTCCTTACCTCCCACGCAGCCTCTTTTTGAAATGAACACATTTTTGTAATTTATAATTTAGCCTTGGTTAGGGGGCCAAACGGAGAAGATTGTCTTAGTTGGAGGGTTGAAGTGAGAACATAGTCTCACTTCCTCAATTATTAACTTAAGAGGAGAATGTAACTTTTAGTTAATAATCCATGAGATTGTATAGTTGATTTCTCAATAAAAACTTTGATTTGTATAATAAAACTAATTAAGAATATTACATTTAATATTCATCAACAAAAAGTAACATAACAGCATAGATCAAATATCTGATCTTAAATATACTTTCAACCTATCAACAATATTTATGGTTTGTTCATTACTTCCAAGAATGCCATGAAAAACAAATTATATCTTTCAAGTCTCTAAAACTATTATTCAAATATCTCATCTTAATCATTGAATTATCAGCAAAATTTGAGCCTGTCTTACATTCAATGAAGATCATTGAAATGATGATCTTAAATAGTTAACATTTCAGAAATGTATAGTTATAATAACATCATTAATCAAATCTCTTAAACTAACTTTCAACTTCTCTTTGATGAAGTTCAGAAAGAGCAGTAACACAAATAATTTTTTTTTCAACTTTACGATTTGTATTATATTTATAATAAAAGCTTTTACAGTTATCGAAATTCAAATATATTCTATTGTTTGGTATAAGTTTGTGTATGCAACTTCTTTCACTTGTCTGTAATGAAAAATCTTATAGTATTAATTTAACAAAAAATCTCTTTCTACGTTATTTAATTGTATCATTATATTTTTAAGTTAATTGAAATTACTATTTAAGAATATTTTTTTTTTAATCTCTAAATTTGTTCCTAGTTTTACTATATGGACTATGGACTTTGACAAAGTAAAACTATTTACTTATTAAAGTTTTAAAAAAAATAAAGAGATTTATATCAATTTATTTATTGATATAAATCTCTTCCGGTCCTATTTCTACCCCCTTTCGGGTTTAACAGCTACCACAAATTTTGTTGGTTTTTGGGAATTGCAGAAACGACCTTTCGTATCAGATTTTCGTGATACAGGCAAACATTCAAATTCAAAATTAACTTTATTCACAAACATAATTATTTGCAAGTGCACAAATATGTATCTTATTACAAATCTCTCAACATAGTTGTTTTGGGTTTGCATCGGTTTATATTTCTTGCACTTTTAACAATATTATGGACATAATTGCTGAAGTGTTTAGGATACTTAAGATTAAAATTTTAAAATGTGGTTGCATGATAACTATTTCTCTATTAGAGGGAAAAGCGTGGGAAAACCCTTTATTTTATCTAAAATGCATTAAAAGTATATTAGACCTCTAGGGCCTTATCAATTATTTATGTAGAAAAGGAGTGATTGTGTTGGATGGGAGAGGGTGATAGAGAGTATTTACATGTGGAAGAGAGAGAGAGGTTTTGGTATGGAAGTTTATGTACAGAGTTTGCATTCCATTGTCAAATGATTATGGAAGGGTTTACAACCATTTTTGGGCCAAAAGTGCAATAGTTCTATGATTTATGAGACATAATTCTGTTTGTTCTTCTATGGTTTTGGCTGCATCGAGTTTGTCACAGAATTCCCGCAGTTTTTTGCCGGCCTCCTTGTACCCTTCAGATCCGCGTATCTTCTGCCAGAAGTCACTTAATTCACTTTCAGAGTCCTTATTTTTGTATCGTTCCCTAGATCCTGTTGTATTATTCCTTAGATCCCATATGTTGACTTGTGAATGAGGTGCTTCTACGAAACTCTATCTGCTTTTATTGTATGCCAGCCTTTTGGGACCTGTAAGGGTCACCAACGTTTTTCCATGGATCGTTTTCTGCAGAGGGTTTTTTAATTTGGCGATGTACTTTGAACATTCTATATTGTTGGCCGGGTATGGTCTCCCGCAGTTTGCACATGTTGCGGGTATTTCGCACATTTGAGACATTTGACAATAGTCAAATGTAGTCTACAATTTGATGTTGCATGGCCCCATTTCTGGCACCTACGACAGAGTGTTATTTTTCTTTTTGATTGGTAGCGGCTCCATTTGATTGTTTCGAAGTTTATGTGCCGGACTTTCTTTGTAGATTCTTGAGGGTGATAGTATTCTCCAGGAGCACGAAGAATGGTCCCCATCTTCGAGACCTCTTTAGGGTTGATATTGTATCTCTCTTTCAGATCCTCTGCAACTTCTTCCGCTGACCAGTCCTCTGGGAAGTTCCACATGACAAAGGCATGGTTCTTCTCATTCTCCTTATAAAATTTTGTTTTGTTTTTAGAAGAGTGTTGTGATCTTCGATATAATTGTCTTTTTGTGGGGTCGGTTGTACGTAACCAGTACATCATTTTGTAGTATTTGTTTGCAGCTCTTAATGAACTGCTGTTGAGATCCATTGCGATCCTCCACAACGATGATTTCTTTGCTGGCTCGGTATCCATTTTTTCCATGGGTTTTTCATTTTCCTTCATATCGAATAGTAAGGCGTAGATATTTGATAAGGCAATTGGCTGGTTTTCAGCCTCAACTTCGCTCGCTAATCTCAATTGCATTTTACTTGATGGAGCCATTTCACAAAGCAATTTTCCCAGGTGGTAATCCATAGCCACACGGCTACGGCTGCCCTTGCTTATTAAAGTTACTTTGCACAAAGAAACAACAAATACATTCAATTTCATTAGCAATTTCTGGGACTACTGAAATTGTATTAAATTACAAATTATTCCTTCATATTATTTATTTATATTATAATTATTTTTGGTAACATTTAGTTGAATTCATTAATACATTAATATTAGTAAAATGTATTAATAGTTTGATGCTAGAAGCTATTACATAATACTATGCTCTCATATATAGATAAAAATGATGTAAACTATCTATTAAAAATAATTGATATATATTTCCTTGAGTCCAATCTCTATTTTATTTGATACAAATAAATATCTATATTTGATAACTTCTATTTTGTAATCAAATTTAGGTGTATTTGTGTTAAAAACATCAAATTTTTAGAATTAAGAGCATTTGTAGAATACATTAAAGACTCTTATTTTGTTCTATTATTATTGATATTTAAACCATAAAATAATTCTGTTTTTGTTTTAAAATTTAAATAAATTTCTTTAATTTCCGAAATCGTAATCACAATTTGAGTTTTTTTTTGGATTTTAACCGAGAAACCTATAGTTTTTTGTTGCTATTATAAGTGAGTCATATTTCTTGTAATTATTAAAAAGACTAATAATATTTGTTAATTAATCTGTTGTTTATTAGTATATAATTAATGTAAATATAAAACAGAACTGCAGAGTTTTACAATATTTTGTAAATGTAATTTTTTAGTAATAAATGATTGTGACAATTATTAGTAAAAACAATGTTACTCATTGAATGTGCTAAGCTGCAATTGGTTATCCATCGTCAGACGTGTAAAAAAAAATCAAAGCTGATAACCATGGGATTAACTATTGCAAACAATGAGTAGTAATGAGCAAATACATGAGAAACAGAAATCGTATTTTATCTTGATCAGATTAAGAAAATCCTATAATCCTCAATTAATTGTATTGCCTTTACAAATACAGGTGAATAACAAAAAAAAAATCTTCGTACGAGTTACATTATTATTATTAAGATATTTTTTTCCTCTCCAAACAAGATTTCCCGATGTGTACGAAATCATCGACAAACACTGCTGCATCACTCCAATTAAACTATTTATCGGCATCGAATCTTGATTCAAAGAACAACGATAATCTAATAATACTTAATAATAATGAGATAAGCGAACTCTTATCTTTCGGGTCCGTGTATCAAAAGGAAACGCGAGACATTGCGAAGTTTTATACACAAACTACGAATTCGCGAGAAAACTAAATTTCGTCCGACCGGTGAGAAGTTATGCGAATATCGTCGGTGATTTTGGGATGCTTGGCCCTCTCTTTGGGCCGGGCTCATCGCCAATACGTTGAAAATGGTAGAAACTGGAGAAATACCAAAAGTTTACGTATTTGATCGATCGGTTTTGCAGATATTCCAGAGCTGAGGTATCTGGATAAGAGCGTCAATCCTTGCGACGACTTCTACGCCTTCACTTGCGGTAAATTCAACGAAGTCCACCCAATTCCGGAAAATGCTTACAGCTGGGATCACTTCACCATCCTCCAAGACGACATCCACAATTTGGCTAAAAGTAAATCGTGCTTTATTCGAGAAGTGCAAAGTTTCTATCTCTGTGTTTATTTTTTTTAGCAATTTTGGAATCAAAACGCGACCCTGATGAGCCGACGGCTCTGAGGAAGTCCAAAGCGTTTTACTCGGCTTGCGTCAACGAAGAGTTCGAGGATCATCTGATATCGCCGATGAAAAAAGCTTTGGATTACTTAGGAGGTTGGCCAACTGCTTCTGAAGATTTCCAAGAGGAAAAATTATCGTGGTCGCAGATCGGCGATTTTGTCGCCGAATACGGTGTTCCGCTTTTCTTCGATTTCAACGTGATTCCATCGAACTTCAATAAAACAGGCAACGTCCTTTACGTAAGTGATCATAACAAGGACAGTGATTATTTAGTAAACGATGTTATTGAAAAGATTTCAAGAGATCCTCTAACAAATCCAGAGCCGAGCATCAGATGGCAAATGGAGTTTGACGAGTTGAGTTACTTGAAAGAGGAGAAAAGGACGAAACGCAGCAAATCAGAGAGAGGTCCTTTCTTGATCTTCCTAGATAAAATGGCGTTAATGTTGAAGGAGCACGGTAAAAGACACGAAGAGATTGTAGAAGACAACAGCGATACTTTTCTGTTTATGCGCGAAGTCATGAAACAAAGCGTAAGTCTCTTAGTATAACCAAAATATTTACAATAATTCAATAAATTTTAGGATAATCCAGTAAATCCCAACATTTCAACTATACCGAACGAAGCCACAATAAATCAACTTCAAAATTGGACCAATATCCATTTAGGCGCTGAAGGAGTAACAAATTCCTTTCGTTAATTATTTTCAGTACTTATAAATTAGAATTATTGCAGTTGGATTGGTTGGAATATTTTAATCATGCGTTCAAATATTCAGGAGTTAAGGTGACCGGAGACATGAAAATCTTCCAATCAAACGCAATGCCCATGATTCACGGCATGATCAACCTATACAACAACAGTCCAGCTAAAACAATCAAAAATTTCGTTGTTGCTAGGATTTTAACGTACATGGCTCCCGACAGTGGCTCCAGCGTACGGCAATTGTTCGAGGAATTCTACAAGAAGCAAGGATACACAGTTTACAACAGGTAATTAACAGTAAAATTAATAAATTACAATTATTGATTGCATTTTATTTGTAGGAAAGAATATTGTCTGAGGAAGACTTTAGGTTACCCATCCGATTTGGGTTTAAGCGTCGCAGTTACCTACGAATACCAGAAGTACCATTTCAACAACAACAAATTGCAAAACGTAAATCAATCAATTAAATTGGATTGTTCATGATTTCGTTTTGTTTGTTTTAGGCTTCAGATATGATTTCGGATTTGCAAGCGGCTTTCCAGGATATTCTGGATGAGGCCGAATGGATGGACGAGGCTTCAAGAGAAAAAGCTAAAGATAAGGCGAACAATATAATCACGCTTTTGGGATACCCGGATTACGCGTACCAAATTGATTTGCTCAACGAGCAGTACGAGAACTTGAGGGTTTGCTCTTGCGATCACTTTGGTAACTCTCAAAGATTGCGCGCTTTCGAGCAGGCCAACAACATGAAGCTTCTCGGATCGAAAAAAGATCGCGAAATGTAATTATTACATCATTAAAGTTTAAAGTTTAAAATTAATTGTATTGTTAATATAGATGGAATATGTCGCCGTTGACTGTGAACGCGTTTTACAACAGAGCCAACAACAGAATACGTGAGTTACCATTGATTTATTGATTGAGATTGATTATTTTTTTAATGTTTAGTGTTTCCGGTGAGCGTCCTCAATCCGGTCTTCTTCGCTGGTGAAATTAGGTGAGACGATTACGAAGATTATGATTGCTGATTCATATGATTATTTGCAGCGTTTTGGATTATGGGAGAATCGGAGCTGTGATCGGGCACGAGATCACGCACGGCTTCGATAACACCGGAAAACTTTACACCAACGAAGGTTCCATCGGTAATTGGTGGACGAAGGAAACGGAAAATGCTTTCAACGATAACGCTGAATGCTTCAAACAACAATACAACAGTTATTACATCCCGGAAATTGATAAATATGTAATGGGTTTAAAAGTTTAATATCTGTAGGTATTGAGTTTAGAGTTTCAGGTTGATGGGAATGAGAGTCTTAACGAAAACATTGCGGATAACGGTGGGCTAAGGGCGGCTTTCAAGGCTCTTCAGAAGCTTTCCAGAAGGGTGAATCCTTTGTTGTCGGTGAAGGATTACACGGCCGAGCAGCTGTTCTTCGTCGGATTCGGAACTGTAATTTTTTCTATTTGAGATTCACTTAAGAAACGTCCTCATTTATTTTTTAACTTATTATAGATGTGGTGCACCACTGAGACTGATTATTATTTGTCCAAGATGCACGGTACAGCTTACGCTCCGAGTAGGTACAGGGTCATGGGTTCGGTGTCCAACATGCCCGAATTCGCGGAGGCCTTCAATTGTCCCGTTGGGAGCAACATGAATGGCCAAGATAAGTGTCTCCTTTGGTGATAAGCTTCTGGGACACGCTAATCTCCTACGTACAGTTAGTCAATATTCGCTTCCTCCATTTGTAGCCAATTCGATTCAGAGAAAATATGTGTTTCGAGAACTTGCAATAATAAAAAAAATTATATATATAATATGAGTTTCGGCAGGTATTTTTGCGTTGATTCGGTGAGTGTTTTAGTACATTTTTTTTTTGAATAGTCTATAATGTATTTAATCTATTAAGTTCTAATCCTCTTTTATATCCAATAATTTAAGTTTATTACCTTTCATCTTAGTATGATCAGAATAAAACATTATCTATTAGCTCTTTGAAAAGCAACTATTTGCGCCTTTTACTAAATTCTATTGTGGTCTTATGTGTACTTGGATTTCAGTTTATTTTTTATACATAAAAAAAAGTTTTTAAATATATTACAAAACAAAAATACTATTTTCTTTTAGTTTACATCAAGAGTTATCATTCATGTAAGTAGAATTCAATTCAATTATTGATCAATATGAATTTAAGTAGTCTCAAAGATTCTTACTCTACTAAATAATATCCATTCTATTTGCATTATGTATTCATGAATTGGAAATTTGTACTTGTTAAACTTATATTTCTGTTTTGAAATCAAGAAAAGTAGCAATTTGAAGAAAATTTATGTAATCTAATATATTCTAATGTTTTTTGTATTTTGATATCTTAAAGTTATTTACATGATTTCTCAAGTCTTCAAGTTTTTCACTTCAGTAAATAATATTCATGAGTTTTAAAAGTTAATTATTTTGTGAAATTAAGTCTAATTTGATTAAATTCTTCATGAAATAAACAATAAATGTATGTAATCTAATACACTGTGATGGTTTCTTTATTCAAGTATTTTGTTTTGAAAGTCATCACTTTATTTTATCTTGTCCGTGTTAGTGCAGTAGTTTGCATTTGCATTCCATCTATAAATTATTAGATTTTAAACTCAATGAACGCTGAACGAGTCTTAAGGAAAGTGCGAAAATATTGAAAGCTAAATATTGAATGGACAGTGCATTTAACACTTGCTTTCTATCATCGAGGAGCGACAAAAGTCGTTTCCTCAAAATAAACCTTCTTTTTTTTTGTATCTTTTGGATGGTAAATTTCGATAAGTTGCGTCATGCTTCTGTTCGGAAACGTGCGAATGTCTGTCTCCTATGACGAGGATGTTATTTTTTTTCCCTCTTCTTTCTATTTGCGATTGGTACGAAATTATAATTACCGTCGTTACGTAATCGGCGTTGCAACGTGCAAGAGAAACTTGTATTATTGGCACATGCATTATATATGTACACACACACACAAACACATCGATACGGCTTGGTCGAATGGACTTTGAGGTGATCGGAAGAGAGACGCAGGGATAATTATTTATCATTATATCCGAATGTGTTTCAAGTCCACGAGGTTTACGAACCGCGAAATCCGCGCGTTTACTCTTCCTACTTTGATTCCAAACAATTTGTACTTCACTTGATTGTTATTTTTTTTCTTGTGGGTTTATAGCTCGAATCGCAAGAGTTTTTTGAACCTTCCCAGGTGTTTTGTTGTTTTCGAACGAATCGAAAGTCAGTTTTTGGGTGGTTTTATTTACCTGGTCCCAAGTTCTTCGTACCCAATCTTTCGCCTCTCTTTTCACCTGTGTGTTTCCCCTTGCATTTTTATTTTTCTCTCTCTCTCTCTCTCTCCTTCTCTTATTCTTCCTCTCATTTTTTTCTATTTTGGTTGACTCTTCCTCTCTCACTTTAATACCATATGCTTCCCTTGCATTTTTTTTTATTTCTTCTCTCATCTTTGTTTTGTTTTGGATTTTTGTATTTTGGTTGGTGGATCGAACGAAGGTTGGTCTTGTTAGAAGCGGACCGTCGCTATCGCAAGACTTCTGCTTCTCCAATGATAAAACACACTCTTTATTGCAGACGAGAATCGCGTACGTAATTGAAGAAATGAACGTGGAAAAAAGTATAAACTTGCGAACGGGCGGTGGAAAAAAAGCGTGAGGTGCGCGACGAACGACGTGCGGTATTTCCATGCGATAATTATGAACATTCATTACCGTTTTAGCTCTGAACGAAATTGAAACGCGATCTAACATCGCCACAAACAAACGAAATACACCTCAATTTATCAGTGCTTATTTTTTCCCTCATCTTCACCTTTCCGCATCGAAAAGGACAATAAAAAAGGAAAAATAAGGTGAGTGAACAAGTGCAAATTAAAATATATTTTTTTCTGTAACCAGTTTCCACGGTTAACGTTCAATCGACATCATAATTGTAATTACTTTTCCTGTAATTTTCCTCATTATCTATACCACGTTAAAGTTATTTTCGCAATTTGCTTTAAACTAAATGATAACGGGAATGGGAATAGCTTTTAAAATGTCGTTCATATTTTTTTCTTCAAACCAACATTTCGTATTTTTACGTTGATAACGCATTCCCAGATTGAAAGGAACTTTGGTTTAAAGTTGTAATTGTTTGGATTAACGATTGCCGTAATTCGGAAATTTCTGAACATTTCATTAAAACCGGTTTTAACACTACAAATTCGTTTCCAATTACTTCTTCATTATTGCACCAGTCTATTTATAAAATGACATAATTTAAGTATCTTATGAAATTGTTATGCTGTTTCAATAACAATTTGTTTTCTTAATTCATTCGCATTTTATTTGTTTCAATATGAATCTATTAGGGTAATAACATCTGAAGTATCTAGTTTTAGAAAGTTGAATTATTGTGTGCAAATTGCTAAATTGTAATAGCAGCTGATTTTTATTTTATTTTCTCAAAACGTATGTTTTATGTCAATTTTATGATTTGATTGTTTATTAAATCACGTTAGAAAGTACTAAAGTTCTATACAATTAGATCCAAGTTGTCATAGTTCAAAGTGACATATGTCACTTAACTTTCGTAAACTGTCAATATTTTGTACCCATTATTGTACTATTATTATCAAACGTTGCTTAACTTATGAAACCTGTCAATATTAGGTAGATAACAATTTCTTTACAATCCTTGTGAAACGTTGATTATATTAAGTACATCATTCATTGAATTATTGTGTGTAAATTGCTAAATTGTAATAGCAGCTGATTTTAGTTTTCTCAAAACGTATGTTTTATGTCAGTTTCAGTAATTTTATGATTTGATTGTTTATTAAATCACGTTAGAAAGTACTAAAGTTCTATACAATTTGATCCAAGTTGACATACTTCAAAGTGACATATGTCACTTAACTTTCGTAAACTGTCAATATTTTGTACCCATTATTGTACTATCATTGTCAAACGTTGCTTAACTTATTAAACCTGTCAATATTAGGTAAATAACAATCTCTTTACAATCCTTGTAAAACGTTGATTATATTAAGCACATCATTCATTGAATTATTGTGTGTAATTTACTAAATTGTAATAGCAGCTGATTTTTTTTTCTCAAAACGTATGTTTTATGTCAATTTCAGTAATTTGAAGATTTGATTGTTTATTAAATCACGTTAGAAAGTACTAAAGTTCTATACAATTTGATCCAAGTTGACATACTTCAAAGTGACATATGTCACTTAACTGTCAAAATTTTGTACCCTCTGTACTATCATTGTCAAACGTTGCTTAACTTATGAAACCTGTCAATATTAGGTAGATAACAATCTCTTTACAATCCTTGAGAAACGTTGATTATATTAAGTACATCATTCATTGGGTCATTGTCAAACAATGTATAAATATTGAAAGCTTTCAATAATAACAAGTTGATAGTAACCAACCTTGTCATACAGTGCTTATGTTTTATTAGCTGTCAATATTATGTAAATGATGGCACTCATCCATATAACATTGCTGTCAAAAAATACTTAACTTTTATAATCTATCAAGTAAAGTGCATTTTTCATTACGTTATTTATAAGTACAAATTCCCTTATTTCCTCTACTTTTTAGCATGTATTTTTGTATGTTTTTTATCTCTATTTATGCACAAAATAAATGTTAATGTTCAATATTAACATACGGCAAAAACAACAACAAACCATCAAAATAAGGTCAAGAAATTTAAAGATTTCTTTAAAAAAAACTATATGTAACTTTATTTCTCCGAAATGCAAAGTTAATTAAATTATATATAATGTCACACTTGAGGTGTTAAAAAGTTAGTACAATGTAAAATATATTTTGGAATTAAAAAAAAAACTATTCTCAATATACTCTAATATCCAATGTATACTAAAGTCGAGTAACTGACGAAGAATCTTCGACCTTGAAATTCTGTTCAATTTCTATTAAGATTGCATTAATTCTGTTCATGGAAAAGTAATTGTAATATCTGCATTTTTAAGAAGTTCATTACTATTCTATTCACCGGAATAATAAGTTTATATCTTAACTGAAATCAAAATTTACAAATTACTTGCATAAATAAAAGTTTCGTGCGTTGTCTGATAATTTATGAATTACATTTTTTTATTGATCGATAATTTTTACAATTATCCACTTACATGATTAAACAATGTTTTTTTTATTAATCGATTTAGTTTCGATAATATTAACATCAATCATTATTCAATCTATTATTCAAATCAAAGGTCAACACGTTTGCAGGTAAATTAATCAATTTTGCATTCTTCAAATGGAAAATCAATCAATGCAACATGTATCAACAATAAAAATAAGTTGGGTTTTTTTTAAATTGCGAAATTTTCTTAGAAATGTTTTCATTTCCACATAATATAAAATTACGTTGAAACTATTGATAAATTATGTAATTAAAATTTTTCGATTTTTTTTTCTAAATCACATGGACTGTATAATACATAGTGGAACCTCGCTTAACAAATTTAATCCGTTCTAAAATTTCCGGATTTTTACTCGTATATTGAAACATATTGACAAATACACATAATATGTGTACACAAGTTTTAAAAATGTGTGAAATCCTGGACTTCTCTTCTCATCGTCACTCGTTATGCGAGTCATTTTTCTTACAATTCATTTTGCTCGTTAAGCGAGGTTTCACTGTATATTTATATTTTATATATATATACAAACAATGTGTATATTAATTTTTAATAAAATAATTTAAAAGGGTTGAGAAAAGATTGTTTAATTACATGGATAATTGAGAGCGAACAAAAAAAAACCTCTTTTATTACCGCAAGGTTTCATTTGTGTGCTTAGATAATGATGTAAGTTAACAGTTATTACGTTTATATAAGTGTAGTGGAGCATAATAATTATGTGTTGTCCGTCGGTAAGAGAAGATTAATCAAAACGCAACCTCGATTACATTTATGATTGTTTCTCAGAAGTAATTTTCTTGCTTATCAATGTGTATTTACTATTAATTGTTAAGAGGATTTCGCATTGTTTATTGTCATAAATAAACAATGCGAAGACAATAAACTTTATCGCCTCAATGTACATTTAAATTATTAAATTTTTCAAATACTTTCAAAAAAAATTCTTAAACTTTCTTCTTATTTTATAAAAAGAATTGTTTTCATACTCAAAGTTTGATTTCGTAATTGTTAGAAACATTAACATCCCACATTCGCAATTTTCTATATTTATAACATCGATATAAACAATTGTATATTTAAACATCAAATTGCATCGCACAAAACAGATTAAAACTCAACAATAAACGTTTATTGCACAAATTGTAAAAAGCGTATTTTTTAATTCCGCAATTTATTTGCATGTCGTTTTAAAGCAAACAAAACGCTTATAGTTCATTGGTATCTTGTCTTTATGATCAAAACATAATAAACTATATCTTTTGTTTTTGTTTTTTTTTTCGTACGTCAATTATTATTACATTTAGCGGAATCCTCGTGTATTTAGTAAAATTGCACGGAACGAGACAATCGATATGATGCAATTGCGATTGCGTGCGTCCTCAACATTCAATGATAAAGTTTTGCTTTTATTTGATGCACTTTATTAATGCACATGTATTTCAATCAATATGAGCGAATTTTGCACTTGAATTGTTAATTTTTTAAAATATACAATACAGCCACATGGATGACAGCAACAGTATTTGAATACAAGTTACATTTCCTAAATATCCAACTTTCATATGCAACTTTTGGATCCATTCTATCTATTATAGATTCTGAGAAAATCACTAAATAATTTTTCATCTAAAATATAATAATACACTAATTATTTTACATAGTTTTTAATGTTGAGCTCACCCGTAAATTATTTATTACATATTGCATTACTTGAGAATTGGATAAAGAACGGTTATTTAACGTTGAGAAAATGCACTTTTTGTTAAGGCAAAAACCACAAATCTGATTTACTAAATGGGACGCGTCGCTAACGAATGGTAAACCGAATGCAATCACTCATCAATTTATAGTTGGCTTTGTTTTGTTTTCCAGCAGAAAAAGCAATAATATTTGCAAAGGAAATAAGTGCAATTTTCTTTTCGCTAATCGCAAACCCAAACTATTTTACACCTTCTAAAAAAAAACAAGACACAAATTATTTCGAATACAATTGATAACTTAAATATTCAGTTGACGTCAACGTTTGCGTAGGTTTTCGATCGTTTCCATTATTATTAAATTTTTGAAATTTATAATTAAGTTTTTGTTTGATGACTAATTTTATTTTGAATGGATGCAACGTGATCGGACGATCGTTGCCAATCCGCAATTAAGGGCCACCGCCAGATAATGTGCAGTGCTTGTCTAGGCAGCAGTTACATAATTTATTCTCGTGACCTTCTCGTGCGTTATTTTTATTATTCCTATGTGTATGTGAGTGTGTGTAAACTTTTATTTTTTCCAATTATTATTTGACATTGATGTTGATTCTCTCCCCCACACCGTGAATGTGTGTATGTATATATGATTATACACACGGAAGCACAGACAGATCCAACTTGGAGTGTGGCAGTCTTCTATATATCATTTTTGTTTTTGCTGGTCTCTTTCAGATCCAGGAGTGATTAGGCGAGGAATCTCGTTACGAAATTTAAAAACAATTACGTGCCGCGCTGATAAAGTGTTTGAGAAGAACGATGTTCAGATGACGCCAAAATATTGCGGGTCGCGTCCGGCTAACGACCAGTGCTGAGTAACTTTCTCATTTCAAATTTCCATCAACTTTAGTGACATTCCTTCTAACCATTCTATTGCATCGACATGGATTCGACTTCGAAGCCTACTTTTATTAATTTCGGACAAGAGGATCAAATGGTAACGTATTCTTATTTGTTTTGTTTTTTTTTTGAAATTTTGTTTTCGAGGCGTGCTTCAATTTCATTTGATCAGATTCACTTTCAATTGGTTAAAACGTCCGTAGGAGGAGTCACAAACTATCATAAAAAAAAAAACAAAACTTGGTTTTAAGTTGTCAGAAAGTTATTGTTACGTGATTGTCAATTAAAAATGTACAATTAATTCATAGCCTAAATAAATTCAGTATTAAGGTATCTTTGACATATATCAAATTCTGACTTTTACCTTCAGATATGTTTTTAATTTGTGTCTATTTATTTAACAAGTATGTTTTAATTCTGACTTTTACTTTCAAGTAACTACAGAAGTTTCTATTTATGTGTATTTAATTAAAACATATTTAAACTCACAGATAATGACCGATCAATCATCAAACGTCGCTTATTTCATTCTAACGTCAAATTATGACTTTCACCTTCAATCAACTGTAAATTTTGCATTTATTTATTGTACACTTCCACTAATTATTTAATTTCATTCAAAATCAAGTTGTGACTTTTTCTATATTGTTTTTTTTCTGTATCTAATTAATTTAAATAATGGCTTCTTAGATTTACATTAAGTTTAGACTTTTTTTTATACATATAAATACTTGTTTTTGTTTCTTTTGTTTTGCTAGGAAATTCGAGGTTACAAGAAGAACAAATCGAAAACATTCCTAATTTATCTTTGCTATTTATTAACCGGCGGACTGCTGAGGTTGTTCTTCCATTGGTATCCGAGGCTAAGGTTAATTAGCACGCACGAGGTTTGCCGATTGACGGAAGCGGAAAAGATTTTGATAATAGTAAGCTTCCTTCTTATTTTCATTTTTGTTTTTAAAATTTAAGCGCTTGATTTTTTAGGAGGATTACAAAGGTAAATGGAAGTCCTATTTCGTGGAGGAAATCAAATCGTTGAGGAGCTACGATTACGACTTGACGTATTACTTGAGCAACGGCAGCAAAAAAGGTAGAATTTAAATCGATTAATTTGATGTGATTGTTTATGTAATTATGTTTTTTTTTAATTAGAAAATCGAGATGCTAAGATTTTCGATTGCAAGAGGACGAGGTACGTCTTTCACGATGAGGAGCAGGGTTTCTTGAAACTGTGCGGATTGGAGACAGGTATTGCGAGGAGCGCTTTCCACACGCTCATCCCGCTCAGGGTTCAAGATCAGATCTCAAGGTTCCGAACAACGCTTTTCGATAGCGGCTTTGAATCAATTGTTTAATTTTTGTTTGTTTCAGGAGCGTGATTTACGGTGCTAATGAGATCGACGTGCCACTGGACAGCGTTTTCTCGCTGTTCGTGCTCGAAGCTCTGACGCCCTTCTACATTTTCCAAGTCTTCAGTTTGATAGTCTGGTTGGCCGAAGAGTACTACTATTACGGAATCGCCATTGTTTTGATGTCCGTCATAGGTATTGGCTCATCCGTTATACAAACACGAAAGAACCAATCGAGATTAAGAGGCACCTTGCACATGACTGACACCGTCTCGATTCTCAAAAATGGTTTCTACTACGACGTTCCGACCACCGAATTGGTACCGGGTGATATGATTGTTGTTCCTCCGCATGGATGCACCATGCATTGCGACGCAACCCTTCTGAACGGCAGTTGCGTTGTCAACGAAAGCATGTTAACTGGTATACATTTTGCTTTTAATGATCATAAAAATAGATAAATAAATTAATCATATTTCAGGCGAATCCGTGCCGGTCGTGAAAACATCACTGCCAAACACTTCCGAAACGTTCAGCATTAAAAATGACGAAGATCACGTGCTTTATTGCGGCACGCAAGTGATACAAACTCGGCAATTGGGTATTTCAAAGAACTCATCGTAAACCAACTTTTTATATTAATTTTGCATCTTTTTAGGAGACTCTCCAGTATTAGCTGTTGTCCTCAGGACTGGTTTTCTGACCTGCAAAGGGCAATTGGTGCGCAGCATTATGTATCCGCCGCCTGCAGATTTTAAATTCGATCAGGACAGTTACAAGTACATTCTGATACTTGCAGCGATATCCGTGATCGGTGTTATTTACACGGTGATCTCTAAAAGCACACGTAACATAGCCGTGACCGATATAATCATTAAAGCTTTGGACACCATCACCATAGTTCTTCCGCCTGCTCTACCAGCGGCCATGACCGTCGGTAAACTGTTCGCTCTCAATAGGTTGAAGAAAAAGGATATTTTCTGTATGAACTCGAGAGTCATCAACGTTTCCGGTTCTATAAATTGCGTTTGCTTCGATAAGGTGAATTATTGCTATTATCAATGTCGCAAGTAATTTAGTTAATTAATCACATAATTACTTTTTTTATTTATAGACTGGAACTTTAACGGAGGACGGGCTGGATATGTGGGGAGTAGTCCCCATAGAAAACGGAAAGTTCCTAAGTCCAATGAAGGACATCACCAATTTATCAAATAGCTCGCCGTTATTACAAGGAATGGCTTCCTGCCAATCCCTAGCCTTAATCAAAAATAAATTAGAAGGCGATCCTCTCGACACCAAAGTAAAAAAATCTACAATCAAACTTATCACATTTAAATTCAATTTATTGTTTCAGATGTTCGAGTCTACCGGTTGGGTTTTGGAACAGCCTAAGAAGATGATCGCCTTAGGCCACCAAATTCACACGGTACTTAAACCCGCTTTCGGAGACGTTCAAATTAAGTTGATCCACCAAAACCAATTCTCCTCGAAGCTGCAGCGTATGAGCGTCGTCGGTTTAATAGACGATGAATTCGTCTTGTTCTGTAAAGGTTCACCAGAAATGGTCGCCTCTTTATGTGATTTCAACACCATTCCGGAAAACTTGAGCTCCAAGTTAAAATCGTACACGGTGCAAGGGTACAGAGTTATAGCGATGGCATTCAAACATTTGCCGTCGATGAGTTGCGAAGAATTGCAGCAGATGAAAAGGGACCAGTTTGAATGCGACATGACGTTCTTAGGGCTGATTGTTCTTGAGAATAAACTCAAACCGGAAACGGCAGATATTATCAGCGTTTTACGGAACGCCGATATTAAAGTAGTCATGATAACTGGTAATTTTGAATTTTTAATTAATAAGGGAATTTTATTTTAAATTTGTTTCATTTAGGTGATAACATGCAAACTGCGTTGAGTGTGGCTAAAGAATGCGGCATTTGCGAGCTCGGAACTACTGTCGTTGACGTGGAAGTGATTGCTCCAGCGAAAAACGAAGAATATAAGTTGCGGCTGACCAGTGATCAAATTAATGTAATGTAATCAAATTGATTTGATTTAGAAAAAAATTACCTAAACTTTTTTGTTGTAGGTTTCCCAAGAAATGTGTATTTTAAATATGGAGGAGAATAGGAAGATTCAGTTTGCTATAACTGGTAACAATTGGAAATTGATTAGAGAACATTTCCCGAATCATGTAGCGAGTTTCATAAGCAACGGTATAGTTTTCGCTCGAATGTCTAGCGATCAGAAGCAGCAGTTGATTGAGGAACTGCAAAATTTGGGTTACTATGTCTGTGAGTGTTTCGTGATTGATTTATTTCATTGTATTTTGATGTGTTAATTTTGTTTATGTTTTAAGCTATGTGCGGTGATGGTACCAATGATTGCGGCGCTTTGAAGGCGGCGCACGTGGGAATCTCCTTATCGGATGCCGAGTCCAGCGTGGCCTCACCATTCACCTCGAAGAACGCGAACATTTCTTGTGTGCCGGAGATTATCAAGCAGGGTAGAGCGGCTCTGGTCACGAGTTTCGGCATCTTCAAGTTTATGGTTGCGTATAGCATGACCGAATTCCTTTCGGTCATCATCCTCTACGGCATAGACTCGAACCTAACGTCCATCCAGTTTCTCTACATTGACGTTTGCATCATACTCGTACTGAGCGCTGTTTTTGGTAATACCGGAGCGTACGAGAAAGGATTATGGAACGTGCCGCCGATGACGTCCCTCCTCAGTGCGATTCCATTGATTTCGCTCATCCTGCAAGTATTAAACGTCGTCGCCTTCCAAGTGGCGGCTTATCATCTCATACAGACATACGATTGGTTCGAGCCGTTCGATTTCATACCAAACACGAATATTTACACGAGTTACGAGAACTACGCCGTGTTTGCTACCAGCGCCTTCCAGTACATAACATTAGCTGTAGTATTCTCAAAAGGTTCGCCATATAGGAAGCCGATCTACACGAATTATTGGTTCAGTTTGTCGCTGATCCTCGTCACAAGCCTTTGCATTTATATCATTTACGATCCAGCTCAATGGATGCTAACGCTCTTCGAGATGAAGATCCCACCAGAATCTGATGGAAAAATGATGGTCCTACTTCTAGCCGTAGCGCATTTCTTCTCCGCCTACGTAATCGAAGACTTTCTTTGCGATTACATCTTAGGTAAGAAGCTGAATCTTAGGGATAGTGGCAAAGTGAAGGTCGTGAATGGAATTGACAACGTTGCATATATCAATTAAATTATTTTGTTTTTGTTATAAATACATTGTTCTTATTGAGTAAATTCCCGTTACTGCAACATTTTAACGGCTTCCTTTTCGTTCACCACTCCTCTCAAGACAATCGGAGGTCTAGCCTTTGGTTTCCCACCAAAGAACTCCTCGATTTCCGCCAAAGTTTTCCCTTTCGTCTCGGGAAGGTATTTGTAAAGGAATACCGTCCCGATAAGAGCAATCACACCATAAAATAAGAACACGCCGATCGGTTTAAACTCCTCCATCATCCACGGATAACTCTTCACGATGATGAAGTTGAAAATGTAGGCGAAGCAAGTGATCAATCCAGTCGATGTTCCTCTTATTTTCGTTGGGAAGCATTCCGCGGACATAGCGAAAGGAATCGACATGAAACCCAAGGTGCTTGTAAAGAAGTACGCTATCAAGCAGAAGACGGGCATCCAATTCCATTTATCAGAAAAGTCGTAGTTCAGGTAAAAGCATAACAGTGCCATGCACACGGTCATTCCAATACCTGAGAGTATCGAGGGTGGTCGTCTACCAAAGTTCCTTGAGAAGCAAGTCACCAGTATTGAGCCTATGAACCTAGTCAAAGCTATGCAGCAGATGAGAATGTACGGATGAACAGTAACTCCAGCTTGTTTCACAATGTCCAAAGCATAGAAAACGATCACCAAAGTACCGCTGAATTGTTGAAAGAAGAAATACATCAGTACTATAAAAAACGGTTTGTAACAAGAAGGTCGCTTGAAGTAACCAATCTTCTTCATAATTATCGATTTTAACGTCCTTTTGCTACCAGCCAACCCGATTTTGGTGGCATCGCGATTCTTAACCATCTTCTCGATTTCCTCGTGTATCCCTTCAGTCAAATCCGCGAAATCCCAAATGCTTTTAAGATTATCCGTGGCCTCTTTTATGCGACTCTTGGACACAAGCCACGTAGGCGATTCAGGTAAATATTGCACGGAGAGAAACATCGAAACGCATGGAAGAACTGCTGTGATCAAGCAAATTTTACACCATTCTTCCTGTAGTGAAAATAAAAATACAACAATAAAATTACTTTTTCTTTGCTATTAATAGAATCACTTGCCTGGAATATGAAACCTAGGATGTAGACGATTAAGATCGCTGAAGCGAAAGCGATCGAACTGGCTGTAGTTAAGATACCTCTCCATTTAGGACATGAAATTTCGGCGACGTACACCGTAGCAGGCATGCTCGAAAGACCTGTAGAAAGACCTGTCAATATCCTTCCTGCTAATAATATAACGTACTGGTTGTCGGTTCTATCGTAAGCGAACGCGATCAGAATCCATCCCAAGAACGTTATAATGTTTATTAGTAGAAGAATGGTTTTCCTTCCGTAACGATCGGAGATAGGACCAGAAATGAAGCATCCTACAGGCGTTGCGACCGAAACAATGCTTGCTAAAAAAAATTGAATGATTAATTGCAAAGATGTATTCCAATCCTCACCAAACCAAGAAGCTTCGCTCAAACTCAATTTATTTGGATTCGAATCACTTTGAAGAGATGGCAACGCTACAGCCGAGAAACCTATGCTCATTCCAGGCGCAATCGTTGTGAAATAAGCGATGAAAGCTAACAAAATCTGCAAATCGTTAGTCCACATAAATATTGTTTTGTTTACGACTTACTTGTTTCTTCGTGGATCTCTCCTGCATCACAACATTTTCCACCTCCATTTCTGTTACAAATTAATCCAATTATTGCATATTTCGATTAATACATTTATTTAATTAAGGCGCGGTCATGTTGAAGTAACGCGCATAAATTTAAAAAACCTTTCTTTCTAATTTTCAAAAAAAAAAGTATTAGAATTCGTGTTTAAGAAACTGAATGCAAATCGCGTTCCTGATTGCGACTATCACAGTCGCATGGTTCGGTTAACATTGTTAATGTAAATCTGAGTTTCGTAAAATTATCTGAAATTTTCAAGTGCTTTATTAATAATCATAATAATACTAAATCTGGATTGAGTAAAAAAGACGACTGTGCAAGTCTGATAACGGGAGATTTCGAAACGTTCGACGCAGGGAAATTGTTTATTCCTGAACTGATTTCGTGTTCAATGTTTTAACTTTTTTTTATATGTTTACTGCATAAGTTAAATTACGATGATGGTGCGTTCTGCAGATTCTCGGAATGTGTGACCTTACAACAACACAGAGAATGGTAATTTATACAGGTTGCTGGAAGTCTGATAAAAAGAGATTTCGAAACGCAGAGAATTTTTTTTTATTGCATTTGTTACTGAGCTGATATCATATACAAAGCTAAAAGTAAATGTAATAATGGTTTTGTCAATCTTTACGACACTTTACGATAAATGAGATTAATAAAATTTTCAATAGATACAACATTTACAATTTATCTTTTGAATTATATAGAACTAAAAACTATAAATTAGGAATATAGATATAAATGTATTTCCATGTTCTATTCTTATGTTAGATTAGGTTGAGCTTAGGGAGAAAAATAAATTATAAAAAAAAGTTGCCAGGAGTTGTAGCGTAATCTATAAAACTATGTAGATAGGAGGAATAAATGAGACTTATGTAAAGATGGCAGTATAAGTAGAAGTGCTTAAAGTAGGAGTGTCTAAAGTAGCGAGGAATCATGATAAAACAATCTTCCATCAGACACAAGCGCTTTTGGATGCTTTGAGACATCTTCCACCTTATGTAAGGTGTCCTCTCTTCGCAATTAAAACTTGAAAGTTTCCAAATTATCTTAACATTACATATTCAATGTTTCTTTACTAAATTAGACCTTAATAATAATTACGATAATGAAAATTAATTAAATGGACCATTCAATTTTGTTTGATATAATTATTACTATCAATTAAAGGTGTTTTTATTTAAATGCAGAGTATCCATAAGCATGAGTCATTCACCGTGGATACAGGCAGTGCACGTCCTTGAATTATCTATAAATATGTATACGTTTCTGCCATCTCTTAACATTACATTACTGCTCGCAAAAATCCATGTGCATATGTTGGTTATTTGTTAATTTTTTTTTTATGTAACAATCCAGAGATAAGAATCTAAGCGTCACATGCATGTTTACATATGTGTATAGATGTGTGTGTGTTTGATTTTGATAAACATATAGTAGAGGTCAACATGTACTGGGTTCAATCAGTTCATTAGTGTTGATTAAATCGGATCTTACTATGCTAGTATTAAAAACTTAAGTGGAAACGATGTACTCGAAACTTTGCGGCAACTCGAGGAATCCGCTGAACCTCCTCAGAAGGACCTACCACAGCGATGGAGTGTTCGGTTACAAACCCAACGCAAGAAAGAATACCATCGGTAAGCGTAAATGATTAAGAAATTGTAATGTATGATTATGATTGTGTTCTTCAGTTCCTCAGGATGTGTTAAAACGTCGATCGGAGAACGCCAATTTCTACAGGTTGGTCGAAGCGTACAGGCAGCACGCTCACAAGACGGCGGACATCAATCCGGTTGCTTTCACCAAAAACTTAAGGTATGCTTCAAGGACTTAAGGTCACGACCCGCAGGTTCATTGAAACTTTCAAAATTCGCAGTATTCAACCTGAACTGGATCCGCAGCGTTACGGCTTCGAAAGCAACGATATCGTTAATTACGAAGGTATTATAAGGTGCGGTAAAAGGGATGGAACCGTCACGGAGGCCGTCGAGTTCTTGCGTGAGGCGTACGGAAGGAAGATCAGCGCAGAGTTCGTACATCTGGAGGTAATTTGCTTAACAAATGTGTTTCATGAATCTGTTACAAATTTCGCGTTGTCAGAGTGAAGAGGAAATCGAATGGTTTTCGCAACGTTTGGAGGAGATCTCGCACGAAACGCTGAGCGATGAAGATAAGAGGCGGATCGGAGCGGAGGTGTTGAAATCGCAAAACTTCGATCGGTTTTTGGCAAACAAATTCACAGGCGTTAAGCGGTACGGAGGTGAAGGCGCTGAAAGCATGATGGCTTTCTTCAGCGAATTCTTCCAGCTCTCCGCTAACGGTTGGTTACAGCTTCGCTCTTAAGAAATTAATATCTTTAACGAGTCTATTATTTTGCAGATGGTTTAGAACAGATCATTTTGGCTATGCCGCACAGGGGAAGACTCAATCTTCTTACAGGAATGCTCAATTTTTCTCCTGTCAAGATGTTTGCGAAACTTCGTGGAATGCCCGACTTTCCAGACAAATACCAAGCGACTGGTGACGTCCTCAGTCATTGCAGTAAGAATTTGAAATTAAAAATTAACCAACAGTTGATAATATTTCATTTTAAGTTTCCTCGACCGATTTGAACGTGGACAATAAGCAATTACACATTAGTTTATTATACAATCCGTCGCATTTGGAGGCTGTCAATGCTGTGTCCATGGGCAAGACCAGATCCAAGCATCTGTGCACCAAAGCCGGTCATTATTCTGGAAACGGCGAAATGGGAGAAAAGTTTGTTAACATTCAGGTGCACGGTGATGCCGCGTTAGCTGGTCAAGGAATAAATCAGGAATGTTTGGCGATTTCCGGAGCTCCGCACTTCGAAATCGGAGGCTCCATACATCTTGTGGTTAACAATCAGCTGGGTTTCACCACTCCCGCAGCCAGAGGAAGATCCTCCAGGTATTCCTCAGACTTGGCGAAAATCATTTCAGCTCCGGTGATCCACGTTAACGGAGATTATCCCGAGGTATAAGAAATACAAAATTTAATTTGTAGCAACAATTTAAAGCTTTAATCTACTCAGATGGTAGCTAAAGCTACTCGCGTGGCCTTCGAATACCAAAGGAAATTCCGCAAAGACATTTTCATCGATATGAACTGCTACAGACAGTGGGGTCACAATGAACTTGATGATCCAACATTCACAAATCCAAGCCTCTATCAAATTATCAATAAACGAAGGTAAAACATCCCAAGAAACGATTTTTACAGAGGTAATCATTTGAGCTGTTTCAGAACAGTGCCGGATAAGTATATGGACAAGCTCATCGAAGAATCGGTGATTACCAAAGATGAGGTTGATAAACAGGTGACGGATTACAATGCATGGCTGAACTCGCATCTGAAAGCTGTCGACAATTATGAACCCGAAGTAAAAAATTGCAACGGTGAAAAATTGGTATTATTATTAATTATTTGTAATTTCGCAGGATCCGAGTTTCCAGAAACAATGGACTGGATTCTCGCAAGCGCAGCATGTGGTAACCACCTGGGATACGGGTATCAGTGAAGATCTTCTGCAATACATAGGTACCAAATCCGTGACGTATCCTCAGCATTTCGTAAGTTCCAAAATACTAATGTTAAAATTAAGTTATTAATTATTCCTTTTTCTAGAACATACATCCGCATCTCCAAAAGAATTACGTCAACGCTAGATTGACCAAGGTGCAGAATGGTCAGAAGATCGATTGGGCCACAGCCGAAGCTATGGCGTTCGGTTCATTGCTTTACCAAGGTTTACCTTTATTTTTACAACGTTACTTCGTATTGAAATTTATGAATTAGAAAACTAATATGAAATAATCAACAGGTTACAATGTTAGGATTAGCGGTCAGGACGTGGGTAGAGGAACTTTTTCACATAGACACGCGATGCTCGTCGATCAAGAAACGAACAACATTTACATCCCTCTGAATTCGTTACACGAAAACCAAAACGCTTTCTTGGAGGTAATTAGATTAATTTGCAAATATTCCTCGTGTAGATTAATTTAAACCTTTTTATTTCAGGTTGCTAACAGCATTTTGTCGGAGGAAGCTGTTTTAGGATACGAGTACGGAATGAGCGTCGATAATCCAAATAATTTGATAATATGGGAAGCGCAGTTCGGGGATTTCTTCAACGGCGCTCAAATCATCTTCGACACTTTCTTGTCGACCGGTGAATGTAAGTTAAAGAATTACGTTAAATTCTTTGCTAAACTAATACAATCAACTTGAAGGCAAATGGTTGTGGAGTTCCGGTTTGACCATCCTGCTGCCGCACGGCTACGACGGCGCAGGACCGGAACATAGTTCTGCTAGGATCGAGAGGTTCCTGCAGCTCACAGATTCCAAAGAGGACAAACCCGACGGAGACGACGTCAACATGCAGGTCTGCCAGCCGAGCACGCCCGCACAATACTTCCATCTATTGAGAAGACAGGTAAAAATGATTGAGTAAATCGTGGATTTTTTTAAATAATGTTGTAAATTTTAATTGCAGATGCTCAGGAATTACAGGAAACCGCTGATTGTAATCGCGCCGAAGACTTTGTTGAGGCTCTCGGCTGCTACATCAAGTTACTCTGAAATGACGGAAGGCACTTCCTTCCAACCTGTTTTAGGTAAATGCAAATATCATATAAATTTACTTATTCCATTGATTATTTTTTTGATTTAGGTGATATCACAACGGAACCACATAAAGTGAACAAAGTGATAATCGCATCCGGAAAACATTACTATTCCTTGATGGAAAGCAAAGAGAATCTCAAAGTAAAAGACACTGCCATTATCCGATTGGAGAGCTTCTGTCCGTTCCCAACGTCGGAGTTGCAACAGGAGTTGGCGAAATACAAGAACGCAAATGGTAAATTCAATTTATCAACTAGTTAAAAGAAAACAATTAAATTGTTGTTGTTTCAGAGTTCATTTGGAGTCAAGAGGAACCGCGCAATATGGGAGCATGGACGTACCTAAAACCGAGGTTCGAGAATCTCGTTGGAAAGAAGGCAAGTTTTATTAATTATCAAATCAATTTGTTTATATAATTTAAGTAATTCAATTGCAGGTGAAATACGTGGGTCGAGAAACTCTTCCTGCTCCAGCAGTCGGAGTTGGTAAATGGCATCAGGAGCAAGCATCTTACGTCATCACTGAACCTTTCTCGGTCGATCAATAAAGAGCGAAAGCTGTTTAAATTTTTAAGAAAATATTCAAAAACTTGTTTTATTTAAATCGAAGATAAACATGTGTTTACTACACATAACTTAGACAATTAAAAAAATAATATACCTATTTTGTTATTATAGCAATGAATTGAGTACGCGCGCGCTTGTGTTTGCGTATTGAGATATAGTGTAACGATAATATTTAAAACTTAACATTAGAGTCATTAAACAATCTGAACTCCAAACTTGCTCAGATATCCTTGCAGGATTTTCAATGCTTCAGAGTTGATCGAGTTGACGTAGGTGGGCAGACGGCCGGGTTGGGATGATCCCAACGTGGCCAAACTCTGCGCCAAGAATTGCCTCGGCTCGCTGATGGCCTGCAGAGGGTCAGATTTGGCGGCGTTGGCGAAATTCAGCTTTGCACTGGTTGTTTGGAAGCTGGGCGTGTCGTCGATCTCTACGAAATGATCATCGGGGAAGGTCGTCTCGTCTCGTGGCATCTCAAAGAAGCACAGCAGAGCCTGAAATTTAATTATGCAAACAATAAGTAAACTAGTAAAATAAGTAAAATGTACTAAAACTATTTAGAAAAGTAAATATTTTCACTATAGAACTATAACACTTTTTTTTCCAAGATTAAACAACTGAAACAGAAAAGAAAACATTACCTGCAACAATGCAGTCCAATACTTTTGGTAAGTCCCCGTGTACATTTCTGGGCATTCGCAGAGCAATTTCGTCACACCACAAGCAACGATCTTCCTTTCGACGATGCCCGATATTTTCTGCATTTCAGCGATCAACAATTTTTCCAAAACCATACCGAACATCCTAAAGAAAACGTAGATTAATACAAACTTAAACGATTTACAAAACCAACAACATACTGCGCTTGAATTCCATCGATTGTAGAAACCAAATCATTGGGTGAATATTTAACAGCGTACATCGAGAAGAATACGATCAAACCGATCACGTATTTCGTGGTTTTGCTGGACGAAAGACGTTGGAACAGCAAAAAGAAGATCTGCTTATGGAACGGCGTCAATGCCTCTCTGAAAAAATTACAAAAAAGTTAACAAATTGTTAAGTTAAGCAAAAAGGGAAATATTACGTTGGGAAATGTTGGATCATGTGTTGCATCAAGTGGAAACCCTCGTGATCGTTTGATTTAGACGCAATCAACTTCTGGAAAACACCCAAGAATCCTCCCTAAAAACAATATAATTAAATAACTAAAATGGAAGTTTGAATCACGAAGACTTTACCAATTTGTCTTGAGCGACGATTTGTGGAGCGGCTTGCATGGAGTAAGCGCACAGCAGTCGAACCAGCGGACTGATATTTGCAGGTCTCTCCCACAGGACAGGAGCCAAGAGGCACGGAAGAAGTTGCATGTACGGTTCAGGGATTGATCCAGGCGGGGTCATCTCCATCAGCATAGACAGTAATTGAAACACGTACGGAATGAATTCTTGTATATCTTGCTGCAAGATTCCTTGAAATATAGGGAAGAGAACGTCCTCAAAAGATTTCACCGCGCCAGGATTACTGGCGCAAACGATCCTGGAAAATGAACGCAATTTAAGTTTTATTGCTAAACGCGCTTCACTAATAAAACTCACTTAATGGCCAAAGAAAAGGTTTCGAACAGATAGTGATTGAAGTGCGGTTTCGAGGGATTCTTGCACACGGCTTGCAGTTTTTCGGTGAGCTTCGGTAAAATTGATGCCAAGTAAGGAATAACCTTATTTTGCAGAGTCGAGAATGAGCGCATTATTGCTGAAAAGAACGGAATATTAAAATGTTTCAAACAATACAAAAATCGCGTTAAATTTACCTTTCATTACGTATTCGTTCTCCTCGGATACAGGCCTATCCAATACTGCAAATAGGTTGGAGAGCAGCTCTCCAGAAAGCGGACCCAAATCATCGCCGGTCACGCTGAAACATAACATTTTAAATTATAAAAAATAATATACTTCTCATCTGTAAAACTCACATTGCGTTATTGGTGCTGTTGCGCATCATCAATATTTTTTCTATAGCGCAAGCGGCATACGTATGGATAACAGCACTCTCTGAAGGAATATGTCTCACGAGTTGCGGTAAAGTACCAACAACGATCTCCTTAGGCAGAATCGATCGGAACGTCATCACGTATTTGATGGCATCGGCTTTCAATACAGGCATATCATTGACTGCAAAATTATACAATTAAAACTCGGATAAATAAATTATATTTTCACAACTTACCATCTGGCCTTTCTAATTCCATGAGGATATGCTCCTGACAGAATTGCGGCACGGACACGAACTGGCTGCTCTTCGTCACTCCATGCTTTTGCGTTGATCCTCGGCTTACCATAGAGATTACCAAATAGATGGCTGCATCTTTGCTGCGCCAATTTTGTTGAGGATTCTCAGCGTATTGTTTCATCATGACCTGCAGAAATAGGCATCAATTAATTGCACTAAACTCACAGTTATAATTAACACTCACTTGCAGATAACTCCCGAAAATATTTATAATACTTTCTTCAAAATTCTGACTGAGAGTATTCACCAAATCGCAAGCAGCCCTTCTTCTCGTATCGATATCGGACCCTTCGATGTCTCTCCGCGTATATTCCTCAGGGTTATCCTCGAACAACTCCTTATCAGACTCTGAAGAAAAACGCAATTAGCATTAAAAGTACCAAAGTAACATTGATTAAGTACCTCTGAATTGCATGTTAGGTATGATGACTTTCTCGCAGATGCTGTTCAACACATTAGCAGCCTCGAACAAATACCGATTGTGATTACGATCCGCTACGGAAGACAGGAATTGCAAAGCATTTGAAACCAGCTATAATAAAAGCAACGATTAAATCCTGCTCTACTTTCAAAAAATCGCATTGGATTTACCAAATCAAATTTAGGCTCCAAACCGGTGGACACTAATAAAGACCAAATATCTGTTACGAATTGCTGAAGATAAGGTTGAAACTCCTCATCGTATTTCTGTGCGTACAACGCAATATTATCGCAAACCTGTGATTTTAATTGCTGCATAACGCCAGATTCTTCACTATCCTGTAAGAAATAAAATAAGTTAATATCTATTTTACTACAGACTATACAAAACTTACTGAAGTCTCCAAGCATTTAACTTCAGCTGTTAAAAGAGTATGGAAATTGTTCATCCAAATCCCCATGTTATCCTCAAAGAATTCAGGCAAATCTTGGAAATTCAATGAGTAAAACACTTTACACACAAGCATCAGTGAATTGTAGATTACTTTCAAAGCGTTCTCATCTTTAGCGTGCGTTTGAGTTAAATTCATTGTAGCCTGAAATTGAAATGTGTAATATAAAATATAAGTTTTAGAAGAAGAAAAAAAATAAATAATACCACTAAAAGATCTGTGAGAGGCTGTGCCAACTTTTCAAGAACATGTTTAATTTCAGACCACAGCTCATTTGATTTGAATTCATATCTGTATTTCTTGAACAATGAATGTGCTGTTCTGAGTACACCATTTATTACATTGAAGTCACCTGAAATAAATAATTTTCAAATTGAATCTAATATTTCTTTAGAAAAATGTAAGTATTTTTAATACCAGTAGAGAACTTCTCAACCATTTGCGTAATCAGTTCTGGCCATTTCAATGGGAAGTCAGTTTTTCCAATTATACTAATTGCATCACTCAACTGTTTCTGTATGGATTCAGGTGATGACAACATCAATGTTACAATCAGTGCTTTAATTTGGGACCTATCACTCTCATGGATCCTATCCGGTTGGTCATCTTCCTAAAAGATAGAAAATAACAATTAATTTCTTTCAATTTAGTTAATTGAATTGTACTGACAACACTCCAATTCCTTTTGATGAAATTCTTGAATGCAACTGCACCGGCTACTCTTATTGTCATATCAACCTCAGGCTTGTGGATCAAATGCAACAGGAGCAGTGAATAATTCCTGTTGATTTCAATTCCCTCCAAAAACTTCTCAGCTGTATGAATGAATCAGAATCAAGTGTTAATAAATTTATAAGAAATGGGTAAAGAAAATACGTGCCTGGTCTCCTGACATTAACATCAGGATTCAAGGTTTGTTGCAAGTACTGGCTAAGGGTTACCAAATTTTCATCAGACACATCCATTATGGCAAAATTCTTGTATATCAACTGCTGTTCAATTCGAAACCTTTTCTCATTCGAAGTACAACTTGGAAATAACCCTAAACTAGACAAGACACCGATTTTTGAATGGAGTCGGTTACGTCTTTGTTGAATTAGGTGAGAAGCTGGAGATGGCGCTTTATTATACCGGTCAACTTTCGTTAATAAATTTTTATTATCTTATTAGATTCCAATGAAAAGTAATTATTTTGAAATAAAATCAATCTACAATACTCGAATACAATACAATAATCGAAATATGATTAACAACATTTAATTAATATTGTTACAATTCCAAAGCAGATGGCAATACTAGTATAATATAACCTGGTGGTTGCCTAGATTTCTTTACTTGATAGTAAATGACGTTTGTTGCTAAGAAGTGATTAGGGTTGATTAGCTTATACAACAATTTGTTAACGTTTCACATTTGAATAACATACGGTTCACGCACATCAGGAACAATGTTGAAGGCGGTGATATTAATCGGTGGCCCTCAAAAAGGTGAGTTTTCTTTAATTGAAAATCTGTTATGAACTTGGAATTCTATGTACTTTAGATGTTTATTTACAATAAAAATGTCTTAATCGCTATTTTAGGCACTAGATTTCGTCCATTATCTTTGGACATCCCCAAGCCACTATTCCCAGTAGCTGGATTACCTTTAATCCAACACCACATTGAAGCTTGTGTTACCATTGAAGCCCTGCAAGAGATCCTTTTGATTGGATATTACCCAGTTTCACAAATCCAGCCATTCGTCAATGAAATGCAACAGAGATATGATGTCAATATTAAGTAATTCCTGGCACTTACCTATCAGATAAATGCATACATTGAGTATATATCTTTAGGTATCTGCAAGAATACACTGCATTGGGAACAGCTGGGGGGATATATCATTTCAGGGATCAAATCCGTTTGGGAAATCCTGACGCGTTCTTCCTGATGAACGGCGATATATGTGCAGATTTTACGTTGGAAGCTCTGTACGTTTCCCACAAGTCTAAAGGGACCAAAGCTTTGGTATGTTTATCACGAGCGGACGATGGTTATCGTATAGGAAATGTATTCCGATTGGAAACTTTGTTGTGACAAACGCACGTTATTGAAGCGTTTTATAAAATGTAAAAATATTAAAATGTTTAATATTATAAGAAAAAATGTATTTGCAGGTGACGATTATGGGGACTGAGGCAACAAAACAACAGTCTCTTAATTATGGCTGTATGGTGACAAATAAGGATACAGATGAAATTACTCATTACGTGGAGAAGCCGAGCTCCTACGTATCCGCACTAATCAATTGCGGAGTTTACTGCGTTTCCTTAGATATCTTCCAAGTGATTGGCGAAGCTTTCCATTCCAAAGAACAAGATTATTACAAGCAAGTGGTTGGATGAAGTATGTTTGAAAATAACTAAATATTTCTATTCTTTAGGGGAAATGGTAATGCCAATAAGGAAGCAGGTTATATACAGTTGGAACAGGAAATCTTGGCACCTTTAGCAGCAACTGGTAAAATGTTTGCTTATCAAGTAAGTTGTTGATAATTCAAATACAATTAATTGTACATATTGTAATCATATTTGTTAAGGTGCAAAGCTGGTGGGCTCAAATTAAAACAGCGTGTGCTGCGATCTACGCCAATAAACATTATTTGGAATTGTACAAATCCAAGCATCCAGAACGGCTGTCCCAATCCATCACCGAAGTAGGAGAGAGTGGAGATGCCAAATGCAACATCATCTCGGACGTTTATATACATCCGTCGGCTTCGATTCATTCTACAGCAGTTGTAAGTTGATGATATTCGCGACTCGAGAAATAAGATTATTGCAATTTGTTGTTTTGTAGTTGGGGCCAAACGTGAGCGTAGGTCCCGACGTTACCATCGGCCCAGGCGTTCGTATCAGAGAAAGCATCATATTGGGACACGCGACCATCGAGAATAATAGTCTGATACTGCACAGCATCATTGGGCACAATTGCAGGGTGGGACGATGGGCGCGCATCGAAGGCACACCCTCGGATCCCGATCCCAACAAGCCGTTCGCGAAAATGGAAAACCCTGCGTTGTTCAACAACGAGGGTCGTCTGAATCCTTCCATCACCATCTTAGGTTCGTCCGCATACATTTAACTTTAAGAGTAATTTCTGATTGTATTGAATTTGCAGGATGCTATGTTACGGTTCCATCCGAGATGATTCTGCTGAATTCCATCGTGTTACCAAACAAAGAGCTGAATCGCAGTTTTAAAAACGAAATTATATTATAAACTCTATATATTTCTCTCTTTTTTTTTAAAAACATGATTTCTGTAAAATGGTTTATTAAACAGTTGCATTAAGACGATGACTAATTGATTTTGTTGATGGTATCGTAGACGTCGCATCTCCTTTGCTTGAAGATCGGAATTTGCTGTCTGACAACGTCGCACTCTTTGAAGTCGAGATCGCAGTGAACGACTTTTTCGGTATGATCGGCTTGGCAGATCACTTTTCCCCACGGATTCGTGAACTGCGAATGACCCCAAGCGATGTATCCTTGAGTGCCTCTTGCCGGACTGATAGCGCACACGTAGATCTGGTTGTCCAAAGCTCTGCCCCTCTGCAGCAGTTCCCAATGCATTGGACCGGTTGTCATGTTGAACGCTCCCGGATAGATGATCATGCTGCATCCCATGAGCCTGTAGAGTTTGGCCAACTCCTCAAAACGCATATCGTAGCAAATTCCCAAGCCGATTTTCACATCATCAATGCAGAAAGTCGCCAGTTCTTTACCAGGTGATAGGATGTCAGATTCCTTGAATGTTATACCACCAGGAATGTCAATATCGAAGAGGTGGATCTTCCTGTACTTGGCAATCATCTCACCACATGGATTCCACACAGTGCAAGTGTTGTAGTACTTGTTTTCGTAGATCTCTGGAATGGTTCCTCCAACTAAATAAATTTGGTTGTCTTTGGCTACATTAGACAACATTTCACAGGTTGGGCCATTCGGGACGCACTCAGCATACTTATCAAAGAACTTCACCCCATATGGAGAGTTGAAGCATTCTGGGAGGCAGATCAATTTTGCGCCGCCCTTCGCAGCTTCCTCGATGAATTTCTTGGCGTTTTTCAAATTCGCATCGCGATCTACTCCCACTTGCGTTTGCACCAGAGCGGACTTGATTATCGTCATCGTCGAAGAATATCTTTTGGTCGGACTTAAGAGACACAGATTCCGGTGAACGACTCGATGTACTTGCTTAAATACATTCATTATAAATTATCATTATTATATAACCTACAATTTATACAAACTTTGACGCGTTAAAAAGCGAGAAAAAATCACCTTGCCACGACGTGCTAAAAAAGGACGAAATGTGTTTATGTTCTAAAGCTAGATTATCTGGCGTTATTGTTGTAATATCATGATTAAGTAATACTTGAAGTGATAATTTCAGTTGAATGAGAATGCAATTCAAAGAAAAGTAAACAAGATAAATGAATTTACAGAAAGTACTTAAGAAAACAAAAATATCTTTATAGTTCGTTCGCTTTAATCTATTCATTTAATTTAGAAACTTATATCGATTATTATTAATATAAATCTCTGACCCTTTTTGTACCATTTTTGGAGTTTATCAGCCTCTACAAATTTTGTTGGTGAGGTATGAACCAACTTTTTTCGTATCGAATTTTCGTCATACAGGCACTAATTATGAATATAAACATTATAATTACTTTTTTTAAAACAAGAGGTGCCATCTATTGTTAAAAAAATATTCTCATTGATGCGTACTTATTGGATGAAGTATCAATTTTTGAAGAGCATCAGATAAAATTTGATAATTCTAAAAGTAGTTATGTGAATTGCGTATTTTGCTCTGAATTGTGTTAGTTGATCCATAGATGATGATTAAAAATAAAAGCTTTTTATTTGGGTATAACAATCAAGTGCCTAAATCATTATTTCAGTAAAATTATATTAATATACATATTTAAAACTATATTGCTTAATTATAATATGACATGTATGTATTATGTGTGATACATACAGTATAAAGTACTGAACAGATAAATAAAATGTCATTATATACTATATATTACAGATGGGATTCCTAAAATAAAAAATAATATATAATTTATACATTCCTTAATTAATGATTGTAGGTGAGCCTCCGATATTCTTTTAAATTGATAAATAAATTGATATGAATCTGTTACATTGAATTTCATATATATTAATAATATGTATATGTAAATAAAATTAACTCTTCAACTGCTAGTTTCTAGGAAACAACGAAACAATAATAATTATAGTTATAGAAGCTAGCAGCTATCTCAACTTCAAAAGATATGACTTAAAGATATTTATACAAAAAACTGTATTTACATCAGATACGAACACCTCAGCATAGATTAATAAAAACACTTATGTACATTCGAGTGATCTTTCAGGTATAATAAAAATATTAATAAGTTAACGTTTATACGCACACTTCCATGTCCTCCAGATTCACAATATACTCTTTGTTCACTAACTTTAACAAAGTTTTCTTCACGCGGAGCGCAGGAAGTCGCACATTCGGATTCTGATGCCAACATTCCTTCATAACCTTTGCTAAGCCATTCAGAATCTAAAAATGAAGAAGAGGATTATTGTCTAACTCGATTATTTGTGATAATCTTTAGAAAGACTTACATGATCACTGGCCCACCTATTAGGAATATTAGGCCTCTGCTGATCAACGCAAACAACTTTTCGCATCTCCTCGAAACTGGGATCCGACGGCACCACATCGTAAAAGGGAGGTTTGTAATCTTCAGCAATTCCATTGCTAATCGTCCTTCTGGCAACCTCCCAAAATACCAAACCCAAAGCGTACATGTCTGCTCGACGGAACGAATCGAAGTAATCCATTCTAATTCTAAACAGTGGCATACATTATAATCCAATTCCGTTTCCATCTCATCTACTACTTACGTCTCTTCTAAAACTTCTGGACTCATGTAACGCTTTGTTCCAACTCTTGGATTAGAGCCAATATCAAGTGAATCTGATTGCTGAACGTGTGTGACTGCCAATCCAAAATCAGCTATAACGCATGAACCATTGTTCCTAACTAATATATTTTTGCTCTTTATATCTCTATGGGCTATGGCAGGTTTTCCCTACAAAACAAATACAAATTTCAATCATTATCTTTGCTAAAACTGAGGAATGGAAAACTTACTTGTGTTCCATAAATTTCAGTGTGCAAGTGTACAAGCCCATTGGCAATAGACAAGCATATGATCAATAATTGCTGGTGTGTTAATGTGGTCCTATTCAAATGGTCATACAAACTACCCAATGAGTGGTAATGAGTAATCAGCCATAACTGTGTACAGGAATTACGCGACGTCATGTCAGATCCAATATATCCAAGTATATTATCATGACGAATCAAAATTGTACTGTAAATTTCTGTTTCCCTGGTCCAGCTAGCCTCATCTCTGGAGAAGAATATCTTCACAGCAACATTCTCACCATGGCATATTCCTCTCCAGACCTCGCCATACCGTCCCTTTCCAATACATTCCAACAAAGATATCTGCTTTGCTAGTGTTCTCTGGATCAGAAGTGGCAACCCAGACCCACTTCCAGAGGTCATGGATTGCTCCAGATATTCCCTCAGAGTACTGTCGCCGGCGGCAGTAGCCCTCAATAGGTCGTCAGTGGCATAATAAGTTTCAGCATCATGATTGCTCTGATTCCTCAGCCTGTGCCTGTGCACCTTTCGCAAGAACATCAAGGTAATAAAGCCCAGGAAACTTAGAACTAAAATTGGGATGAAAACAGCAGCAGACAACTTCAATATGTAATTCAGACGTGAGTCTGAATACGGTTGCACTTCAGCAACAATAGGTGGGAATTCCCCACTGTTGCAGAAATCCTTCTCGCAGCATTCTATGTTTATGTGCAGATGTGAATCACGCTTGCAGGGTCCAGGAAACTTTGGTATATGACAATAAAATGGTACTTGCTCTGCCACTGAAATGCATCCTCTGGACACCTTCTCCACACCTGTACTCTCTCGAATTCTGGACTTCCAACACTGCACAGCATTACTGCAAACTGTCAAGTTCGCACAGTCAGGTGGTTCACATGAATGGCACTTATATCTCTGTTTTCCAAACGATTGCGCGCCCAACAGTATTTTGTTATCATCGTCGTCCTCTAAATTGTACGGTGGTACCAAGGGATCATTATTGATATCGTCCTCATCTTGATCATCCTTTAGATCTAAATGGTCTGCGACTTCTACAAAATTATATACAGATTTGTTTTTAACGCTCGCGAACATTGTTTTTCTACGTTTATATCCATTTATATTTACCTGCAGAAACGTAAAGTGCTAAAAATATGAATAAACAGTACACAAACGCACGGGCAGCCATATTCACTTGCAGCCAACTGAATATTTGTTGTGTTTACCGCCTTGTCCAACAAGGATCGCAAAAACATCGGCACCATCGGTTTCATTCGGTTAACACCGAAACCACTTCCGAAAGAGAACAATGATTTTCTTTTGAAGTGGAGAACAATATACCTGAAAGTTTTACAAGTATCAATAAAAATATACAATATACTTGAGTTTATCTTTCAGAAAGGTCATGGTCATAAATCATCATTTTCCTCCTTATATTAACATAATTTTTAAGATCTTTACGAATACATTTTATTGCACATTCGGTAGCCTAAGAAAATTATTTATAATAATGTAAATCATAAAATGTTTGAATTATTTTAAATCCTATTTAATTTACTATTGTTTTAAGTTACTCATTGTTATAAATCGAAATTCAAATTGTAATATTTCATAGACTAATAACAAATTCTTTAAAGATAAAATACAATAGGTATAAGAATGTTCGTATATTTTATCACAATGTTTTTGTAGAATAAGGATTTAATTAAACATGTTAATGTAAAATATTACCTGATTGTTTTAGGTTCGCATTCGATTACAGCGGAGCACTCGAGTACGGCTATCTTAATGCAGTAATTCCTTATCTGGAGTTACAAAACAATATAATAATAATCATCATACTAGAATTGCTCCGATGGAGTGCAATCAAGTCTCTTAAAAAATCAATCCATTATGCAGTAACCATATAGATCTCATTGCGATGCGACCGGCCTGGATGAAGAGGCTCTGTTCGCGCCTCAAGAACAAACAGAAGAACTACTTCAATTCGGATTCGGAATACTCTGAGTTCGAGCACTCTCTGCCGATTTGGTTTTCGATCATATTTCTCATAATCTACGCCGGTATTTTCACATTTGTTTACTATTACGATCAAGTTTTGCCGAAGGCCGACACGGTGAGTGTTCTTGCACTTGATAAGATTCCAAGACTGATTTTATATGTTTTTATTATGGAAAAGGATGAATACGTCTTTAAAAGTTTCAATGCAGGCGTACATTTAAAGCATCTGGTGGATCTGGGTCCAAGGGTTGTCGGCAGTGACGCCAACGAGATTAAAGCTGTAAAATATTTGAATGATCAAATCGAGAAAATCGTCAACGGGAAGAATCCCTTGCAGAAAATTGAGCATAAGGTGGAGGTGGTCAGCGGATCGTACTTCTTGGATTACAAACCGTACGGTGCGATTAACGTGTATTCCAACGTTAAAAACGTCGTTGCAAGAATTAAATCGAAGCACGAGAATAGTCCGAGTGTCTTGATCAATGCGCATTTTGACTCGGTGCCGGAGAGCCCAGGTAACTGGTGGTTAACAATTCTTGGAAAAACTGAGTTTTCTATTGGATCTTTTCAGGTGGTAGCGACGATGGGATAATGTGCAGCGTTATGCTGGAGATTCTTCGGATTATGTCGAATTTCGATGAGAGACCGGAGAACAATATCGTGTTCTTGTTCAATGGCGCCGAGGAAACTGCTCTGCAGGCCTCACATGGCTTCATCACAAACGACGAATGGGCCAAAGATATTAGGGTCGTTATTAACTTGGAAGCTACAGGTGCGGAAGGGCGAGAAATGCTCTTTCAAACTGGTCCGAAGCAGCCATGGCTCTTGAAGTACTACAGCCAAGTCCCTCATCCGCATGCCCAAGTCGCAGGAGAAGAGCTTTTCCAAAGCAACATAATCCCATCGGACACTGATTTCAGGATATTCAGGGATTACGGCGATTGCATAGGTTCATCATCATACTTATTCCTAACATTGATACACTCTATTCTCGTTGTTTATAAAGTTCTTTGCAAATTATTTAAATTGCTTGCTCTTTAATTAACAGTTTTCAGGTTTCGATTTTGCTTACACGAGAAACGGATACAGATATCACACGAAATACGACGATAACAACATCAATATTGGCGTGATTCAGCATACTGGTAATAATATACTCGAGCTCTTGAAGCAGCTCTCCAACGCCCCAGAAGTCGGCGCAGAATTGGATGAAAACAGTAGCTACACTGTTTACTACGATTTTCTTGGAGTTCTCTTCATCCGATACGACAGAACGGTGGAACTTATATTTAATATTCTTTGCATCGTCATCTCTCTATTATCCTTTGCAATTTCAGTATTTTCATTTAAAATACGTATGTTAAAATTGATTACGCATATAAATATCAATTTAAATTTTAATGTTTTATCTTTCAGATAAATCTTTGGCGAACTTCAAGTACGTCGGAATCGCTCTTGGCGTGTTGCTTCTATCTTACGTGATTGCAGTTGCATTTGTTATAGTCATTGGCGTTATCATAGATTCTGTGGATTACACTATGAGATGGTACAATAACACTTGGCTCATCTTAGGTTTATATTGCGGCCCTGTGGTGGGAATCATTATAACAGGATTAGTTCTTTTCGCGCGATTTAACAAGAACGTCAGCACTCACCACTGATTTGTTTTTAACTGTTTTATATTAATATATGAATTGTTTTCAGAATACTTTGACTTTAAGTAGGAAGACCCAGATGACATTGCAATTAAATAATTTACTTTGGACAATAATACTGCTTGTTGGTACATGCATCGGTATAAGATCGGTGTATGTAATTGTATACCACGTTCTGTTCTCATCAATTGGTTTCTTAATAATCCAAGTGTTTCGATTGCAATTTCAAAGTAAATTATTTTTAAATTCATATTTCAGAATTATTAACGAGGATTTTTTTTTATAGATCACCTGTGGAAGTTGATCTATTTCATTGCGATGATAATACCGACGATTTTTGTCCTGCAAATTAGTTTGGAAATCATTTATTTGTTTCTACCGATTTGTGGTCGCAACGGTGGAGGTTCCAATCCGGAGATTATGGTCTCTGCAATCTGCTTCTTTCTCACGCTTCTTGCAACATCATATTTCGTAAATATCATAGCTCCAAAAGTTTCTTTCAGATTCGTTAATACGATTTGCGATTTCAGCTACCTTTGTTCATGGGTGTAAGAAAGGGTTATTTAATAGCGATCGCCTTTTTCGTATGCTTCGTTGTCTTCTTTATACTCGTATTCACGACAGTTACGTTTCCGTACAGCGCAGAAAATAGACGCCCCCAAAGATATCCATTTTATGTAAATATTCTCAAGATTTGCTGAAGACAAATTAATTTATCTTTGTTGTTAGCATACCAGCCGCACGATAAGAAATGATGACGACATCATTATCGAAGACAGTGGTTACACTTTTGCTAAAAACGACAGAAACTCGCCTCTGATGATTCAAGAGTACGTCAGCGAAATTGAGGACTCACTAAGGGAAATCGGCCAAGATTGCGAAAGCGCCTTGTTCTGTGGTCTACCCACAACAAATTCACGTTCGTTGAAGGATTTGTAAGTCCTGATAGAATTACGTATGAATTGGTTCATTTCAAATGTTAAAATAGGTCTAAAAATTTCTGGATGGAAGCTCCGCCTATTGTAAAGATATTACCAAAGACGACGTTGAAATTGGAAACTAAGAAACAGATTTCGAGCACAATTATAGAATACACATTTTTAGTTGAAGGTATTTCGGTTTCGTTTTGTTTCGTCGTAAATGTTATTACCGATACTTTCAGGGCCTTCGAGGTTGAATATTTATTTCGCGCCGAAGGAGGATGTTAAATTGCTGAAGATTGGATTTTTGAAGGAAGTGCCGAACAACGAGATGACATGGAACGGCAGACCGGCTTATTATATATCATATGCTAGTGGTGGACCAACATTCTTCCAATTCAGTCTTGTGTTCGAGACGCCCAAAGATTGGGATAAGAACGTGCTGGATATTGCGGTCGCAGGAAAATATATTCACGACGTGCAGATGAGCAACGATTACGTTAAATTCCTGAGCAAATTTCCCGTTTGGACATTCGTGAATCCTTGGGTCGCCACTTACGAATCTTGGGCATATTAATTTTAAAACAAAGTTTTATTTGCTAACTGCGTTAAAAACTGAACATATATGAATATATATATATGTACAAATATATTTTTTACTTAGAACTATACAGTTTTATTATTTTTTTTTCATAAAATCAATTAGCCTTATAGTTTAATCCTGATAAATTGTTCAAGTAAGCTAAAATTAAGCTATGGTTTTGTCGATCTCCTCTACTTTGTGTTCTTGTGCTTTAAGAATTTGTAGGTATTCTTGGAGAGTACGTAACTCATTCCTGCCGCTACAGTCGTAGCCCCGGTAACGTACCAGAGGTACTCCAAAGCTGGATGACCTACGTACTGGAAGACTGGAGCTGCCAAAGTCGAACCGACGAGCAACAATTGGACGGCCGTATTAACTTTACTAATGAATGTTGGAGCTAATTGGGCTGTCGCCAGAGTAGCATCGAAATACCGGCTCAGATTCCGCTGCAAAGGAAATGTCATCAGTCTCCATCAAACAGAATACAATAGACAATCACTTACTGGTGGAGGTAATGATTTGTATCTTATAACAAATCCAGCAGTGACCAGAATCACATCTCTCCCAACAATAATGCTAGTCAAAGCAATTGGAATGAGATTGGCATAGGTCAATGTTAAGAACAATGTGGCTATCAACACCTTATCAGCCATCGGGTCCAGAAAACTCCCAACTTTTGTTGACTGGCTTTCCCAAGTCCTTGCAATCCACCCATCAAGCTGTAAGAATTCAATGTACATTGAAAATTCTCTTAAGAATAACCTTAAATTTTACCAAATCCGTAACAGCAGCAATACCTAAAATACCGAGGGCAAAGTTAAAATCCGCTTGTACGATGAGCATGCCCAAATAAGGTGAGAGTAAAATCCTTGATATGCATAAAAAGTTCGGTATCGTGTAGATATTTTCTTTCTGAAAATACACGAAAATCGTTACATTTCCTACTCGACGACTTATCGCTAATTACTACGTGCCTCTATGACCTGCTCAACTCTCCCCTTGACTTTATCTTTAGTTTCTTTAATATCGGCCAAGACAACTCTACCCCTCTCTTTGATCCTCTGCTCGGTATCTCGTAACCTCTCCTTGTTGTGCTCGATGTAAGTCTTCAGTTCTTTCCTCCTGTTCAGTAAAATGTCCTTCTTGTTGGACGTCGTGCAAAACCAGGATGCATAATAATTGTTGCATCTTGCGTGCTCGTTTCCTTGCAAGCAAGCCACCGCTTTGATCCTATACACATTTGTAAATTTATGCTGGCTTAGAGCGAAATTAATTTGGCACCTACTGAGTATACGGTTCAAGGAGTTCATTGTGCTGATTACACTACAAAATGCAATTAAGTGAAAGCAATTTTAAGAATTAATTCAATTACTTTAAATCTGCTTTAATCTCCCCCGAGTTATATTACTTTCATACACAACGCAACATACATCTTTTTTGGTATTTTTTTTCTAGGTTATATAACCTTAAACTGTCAGGATTCGAAATCAAATTGCTAACGTTTATTATTCAAGTACCCGCAACGAATTTGTCTGTTTTGTACATTTCATAAGCAAACTCTTCCGTATGATTTGGATCGAATTCCAAGCCAACGTAATCTATTTCTAAACTGAAAGGTCCGTCAATTTTATCACCAACTGAAAAACCAAAACTGGTCACTCGGTTTAATGGTAGTGGATACTGCTTGTCCTGGATTCTTCCCTTAGATGACAGGAAAAACTTTGAGAATGGGATCTGCAATAATTTCGTATTCACAATAAGGGTTGTTTTCATTTAAATTTTAAAATGTTACCCTCGCTATCTGCCAATAAGGTCCTCCTCTAGTAAACAAGATGTAATTGTATACATCATTCCACATTATATCATAGTATCCTTTTGTGGCTATATTTATGATGTACGATCTACCATCTCCTCTGACTTTCAATACTAACATATTGTAATTAACCCAATCATAATAGCTTTCCCTTTTAAATGATTTCTAAAAATATATTTGTTACTTTATTAGATGTCAGCCGATATCAGTTTTGTTGATGTTTACTCTAGCCCTCAATGATTTTATGTTGCAATATCCAGCCCTTTGCACTCGACCATCTTTAGGTATCCTAGTACTTAAGTTGCCATGGAAGTGTCCTTTTCCATGCTCAGTTAAATCAAATTTACATTTACTGAATCCTTCATTGTTATCACTGTCGCTTGTAACTATCCATTTATTTACAGTTTCCTGATCGAATCTCCATGCAATATCAGTCTCGCCGGGTCTATAAATCAGTACTGGGTCGGCATCGAAATGGTCTTTGACTTCTTCCGTCCACAGGGCTACCTCTTGCTTCAATTCCTTCAAACCATCTCGAATGAGATTCGTTTTCGATGGTGAAGCTCTGCTATCTTTGTAACCAGATTTCGCGTCCTTCTCATAGAAGGTCGTCAATGCCTTCGTCGCATGAATACAGCGGATTTGTGGTAAAGATTTTATTAACAAATTACGTAAAAGAGACATTTCGTAGGATAAATTTGCTATGTGTACATCATTTTTGAATTAAAAAGAAACATTTAGGTTATGTTGCTTTATGTCAGTCGGTGTTAAAAGTATTTACAGTAATACCAATTACGTAAAAGCGGTTGAGCACCGATAAAGTCGAATTCAAAAAAATATATTTTAATAAATACGGTTTATTTGGATAATGTTTAAAAAACGTAACAATTTAAACACGTTATTCACACATCACTTGAACCTAAATCATTTTGGTGATTGTACAACCTGACATTCTCTTCCATCGTTATCTAACAAAAAAAAAATGCATATTCATAGATACAAAAAGAAAATAATTAAAGGAAAATAATAAAAAAAAAAATTAAATGAAAACTCATCATAATTCCATATTTAAGAGTCGTCAAAAAAAAAAATGATTAATATGTATATATAAAAAAATCAAGCTGATGAAAACTGTACAGTGCTCAATTTATTTTTCCTTACGCACGAAAAAATTGTAAAATCGAGAAAAAGAAATATATATTATATATATCCTACTTTCTTTAAAATTCCATATTCATGATCTTCCTAAGCAGTAAGAGACAAGATGCAAATAATGTTTATTCTCCAAAAAAAAAAAAGTATCATTTTGTTTCATATATATTAAACGATATCTACATAGTTTTTTCCTCTTTCACTTGTGTTGTTCAATTGAAACTCACGTCCTTGAGACTAGTCCGTCCTGTCTTAAGTAATCGACACTGTGTTATTGCCTTAAAAACATAATACACTTCGAAACAATGTTGAAAAGTAATTTAGAAGGAAAAAAAAAATTATATAATAATTATATGGACCGATCGCACTGCGACAGCAACATTAAACTCTAATTAATACATATATACAGGAAAAAAATTAATGCAATTTTTTAACACACACTTAAATAAAACTGTTACTTAATTCATAATTAATAAAAAGAAAAAGAAAATAATAATTATAATAGTAATTGGGGCTGGGGGTAAGGGGGGGTTTGTCTGGGCGGTCGGGTTTTTATTTTCCTGGAAATTAATTAACACGTTTCATTTAAACTCGTTCAAATCATAAATATATTATGAAGGGTAAGTTTTCCATTTCTTTAAAATTTTGTGTTTTTTTTTATTATTATTATTTTTTTTGTAATTAATATATGTTTTGCGGTAATTACTGTCGCACCGATTCAAATTCCCGTGATCACACTCTTGTATATTTTATTCATTTTTTTTTTGGCAACACTGTTTTTAAATTGCTCATTTAATATTATTATGATTACTGTCAGTCTAGAACCACAACTTGTAGATCCTCTTTAGATTTAGCCATTCGCCAAGGCTTACGTGCGATCCTCCGTAATTCTGTTGTTGGGATTTGTTTACGCATTTTTCTGGAAACGAAATACACTCAAATAATTAAATAGTCCTCCTCGTCGACCGAAAATTATCCATAATAATACAGTAATACCCCGTGTTGCCAAACAATAATGTTTACTGAATAAATTTTAATTGTATATGTAATTTGAACTTTGATGCGAGTTTGAAAATATGAAGACATAACAATAAATTCCATTCAACGTTTACATTCTACGATGGAATTTAAAATATTTAAACCATCGATAATGTTATATTGGTGAATTGGTGATGTGTTTAGTTAATTGCTTGTTAAATTCGAATTAAACTATTTTCAATTCGAACAACAACTAATTGTTGAGTTGAGTTATCGGTCATTATCGTATTTATGATCTGGTTGATTATATGATACTCGACGTATCGATTTTTATGAATTAGGAAACACGTGGAACAACACAATCCACCCAGTTACTGCCCGTCAGTCAGTCCTTTCATATCTGGTAGTTAATAAAAGATCGACAATGTGTCGCACGCTGCGCTAATCGGGGTATTACTGTACTAATAACATTGATTTGAATAAGTCGATATGTAATGGATAGCTTACTTGCTACTATCTGTTGCACGGAAATACAAGTCATCCGGAGCATCCATCCAACTAATCACCTGTTTCCTTCCTGAACCCGTGCGGGTCATATGAGCTATTTTAGGTTTGCCGTTAATCTGTGCAATGTGACGTGGCAGCGACTGGGTAGTTGGTATGTTGGAGACCATCGACGAACTGTAGGAGTCTCCGACGATGGGACGCGTCATGCTGATGGGCATTGGGTCCTTGCTCAGGCGTTTAGGAGGCGGCCCGGCCAGAATGGGACCTGCAAAAACAATGCAAATATTATAACTAAGCCTTTCGAAAGAATGGTGTATCAGTAGAACAATGTCCACTCACCATCATCCCAATCCAAATCAGAGTAGAAGCCAGTAAAGTTAAAACAAAAAAATTATTAGTGACAGCAAGTTTTGTTTTTAATTCAAAACGGGTTTCATTGGAATGGGTTTATTGGAATTAATATTGTCAATCAGATTATTGTAGAATATATATATATGTATATAGAGAATAAATAAAAATAGAAAAGCGGTGCAAACTATATAATGTGAATTTAGTAAACAAATTAAATTGAAACACCAAAATAATAATAATAATAAAAAAAACGAAATAAAGACAAGAACTAATAAAGCTACTAGTGTAAAATAAAAGGACACTTACTGTCTACGCCTCCATTCATTTCGTCGTAGGGTCTCTTTTTAATGGAAGGCGACATATTATTAAGTGGTATCTTCTCTGCCTCCGGTTTGTTGGGCACCCGCTCGTAAAGCAGACTGCCGTCAGGAGCCTTCGGTGGTTTTGGGTAGGCGACCTTCTCCGGCTTCGGCAACAGCTCCTTGTCGGTCAAAATGAGCCATTGTGGAGTTGGACCACCTGGATTACCCAGACGATTGGCGATCATCGTCACGCTGCCCCTGTTCTTCTTTCGATAAATCAGCAGTTGCTTCAGTTCCGGTACGCTCTTCCCGGTCATTTGAAGACCACACTCTTGTTTCACCGCCTGTATGTTGATGGCGAAGAAGGGCGCGCGGCTGGCGTGCCTGGGCCGCATGATGTGTCTGCAGAGGCGGCGCGAGATCCTCGTCAGTGGCGTCGTGCACAGGTAGAATGCTGTCCGAGTTTTCATTATAGGACGTGGAGATCCGGACCGGACCATGATGCCGTGTGCTGTGGCGTAGTGACGAGCCAGATGGGCTTTCAACTTGAACTCCTTCCCACAGCCTCCGATGTTGCAACGATGGGGACGGTGCGACGGGGCTGAGCTGATCTTGTCCTCCTCGCCATCGCTACCAGACTTCTTCTTGACGGCGTCGAATTCGCACTCGCCGTACCTCGAGGGGATCTTCAGTCCTCCGTAACGCTTCCAATACTGCCAGCACGTTTGGCAAAGTCGACACTGCAAATGCGTCGGACCCCACGCATACCATTGACTCGAAACGGTCACTGAAAACAGGTAATAATAAATAGAGTATTCGTTGCGACGTACTCAGCGCAGAACCTTAGATTCATTTATACAATACGGTGAGTTAAAATCACAACAATTAGATCAAATAACAATAATAAATAAACCATACAAATATTGTTTATTTATAAACAAATCAGCTGGTTAGTGTAAACGTAAGTTGTCAATAATAAAAACTTGTAAATAAAAAATATAATTACCATTGCAGGATTCACATGCTTTCCCGCCTATCGAAACGACTGGTTCAGAGTTGCCATTGCTGCTACCGTTCACAACCCCTTTATTATTGTTGAGCGGCGCGGGATTTGGTTTATTACTGCAAATGGATGGTGGTCATTTAGTTTATCCGATGATATTGTTGTTCATCAAGTATAGTATTATTATCTTGGTAGTACTTACTAATTAGGAATGTAGACTTGCTTAAGTTTGGATTCTGCTTCTACTGCTTTTACTCGTTTCTGCTGTACGTATCGGTCAGTCGTTTTCCACATATAATAATATTCTATTATATTCTTGAGCGTTTTCCAGGGCAGGAAGTCCTGGCGTATATCGTTGAAGTCCTTGCCATATTTATCGAGGGCTTCCTCGAAGAGGTTCGCCTCAGAGGCGCTCCATTCCTCCATCTCGTCGCGACAGAGGACAGGCCCGCTGGATGGCACCAGCGAGCAGAGTGCCCCTGACAAATCGTACCCGTGTTTGTGCAATGTGTCCATCGCATGGAAGAGGGTGATGTCGCGGCTCGCCGCCGCCGCCGACATGTGTAAGGAGGGCTGTTTAACACTGGAACTGCAATCAAGGGCGCGCGCGAAAGTTCCGACCGAACGTGACACGACGAGGAACTGATCTATCTGTCTGTCCGAAAGACCGTGTTCAGGTGTCCACACGAGGGTCTCAAGTTCCGACAACGAGCGTCCATCACTTTCTCCTTCCTTGAGAAGGTTCGTCACGTCACTTTGATATCGACTGCCTACTCGGATTTCCCCCTTGTCTGCCAACAGCGTCTTCTGTGTGGGATCGTACACCAAACAATAGAAAAACATATCGTCCTTGTTCAAGTACGACTGCAACGATTCGGTTTCGTTGAAGAGAGTCACCGAGCACTTTCCACGGATGTGCGTCGCCGGCAACGTGTCCACCTGTCGAGAGAGGAACAGCTCCCGGTGTTTCATCTGGTGTCGCTGTTTCGACGAGAAACCTGATGTATCTGCTGGTACTGCTGTTGTTGTCGCCGTTACCGCTGTCGCTGTTGCTACAGCTGGTCTACTTGAATCACTCGCCGGACTCGCACCACTCGTCGATTCGTCTAAGGCACCTACAACAAAACATATCGTTCAATACATAAACAATAACCGCATTCTTATACACCAAGCCCCCAAACAAGTGGTATCGATTTTCCAAACATTTAAAATAATATTCAAATATTCAATTACTTTAATTCAGCACTTCTAATGCTAACAATAATACATATATGAAATTTCATATCCAAAAGCTTAGTTTAAAATTAAAGCAAATTTAGATATATAATTAGTTATAAACTTAATTGCCAAAGTACATTATTTCATATTATATTCAAATCTATCTACTTATAATCACGTCAATATAGTGACATCATCCAGACTCATACAATGTTATATTGATTTTCCGGTTAGCTTTAAGTGGAACTGCTTGACTGACAAGTTATATTACAATAGCATCGTGGATTGCACCATGTAATTGTTAATATTATATACGTGCATATATGCATTTGGAAACGCATACATCTTCTGTTATAAGCAAATACAATATTTATAAATGTAATCATAAGAGGTAATTCCAATCTGAATAAATGTTTATCAAATGCTTGCACCGTGCACATATATCGATTAAAAAGCATTCTGTTGATCTGCAAACATCGCTGTGCATAAAACGAATTTGGAAAATTGTGTACATTGCGATGTATGTATGTATGTTGCGTTCGTACACACATGAGCAACGAACGGATAAATAGGAACATGCGCGGTGGTCGGCGTCGGGACGCGACCTCTTTCATATAATTAATGAAACGCGCTGCTTAGAAAACGAGGGTTACGCGACGCGCTTGTTGCGCAACCGGTTCCACAACAGAATAGACCTAACCCAAGCGGAAAAGGGACAAATGGAATGAAACGATGAAGGTACGGCATGTAGAATGAGATGGACGAAGAGGATCACAAGAAACAACTACTACTGAAGCAGCAGCAGCAGCAAGAACAACAACAAAAAGAAGAAGAGACGATATGAAACACATTTAATTATATAGTTGTCGGATCATCTCGAAATCCGGTTTGTTAACGCAAGTTTCTCAAATTAAGTAGAAAACGTTCATTCTAAATTTAACGTTGTACGTACATCCAAACACACGTATTTAATAAATTGTATGACGAATTAATTAATAAATTATTTGTTCGCGCTCGAAGTTTACTTGAATTTTATGTCAACTGAAAGTATATGCAAAATTATTATTGGTTCCAATTAAATACGCTTGCATACCGTTCAATAGGAAATACGTATAAATAGGATGATTGGGGATCTAAGACCTTGGATATTGTGTAATTGCGGCGTATCACGTGAATATGATAAAGCATGATTATTTAATAAATATGTTGAACGGCAACGATAGTAGGAAAAAAAAAACTATGTACTATACATTTTAAAATAATGTGATATTCTTGCAAAGTAACTTGTATTTCCACAAGTACGCTCTCTTTTTACATACATAACAGGCAAGTTACTTGATGTAAAGAGTACTAGTAATTAGCCAATTAGGCAATGAACTTCTCAATGGCGGTCTGCAATTGAATGAATTCATAATTCAATCGTAAACCTGGCGGCGGGGGGGCGGCGATTTCGGTGAAATTTATGGGCAATGCGAAATCATGAATATAATGATGAAATTTATCGCATTCCATCAATGTGCATTAGCCGAGGTTCGAATTAAACCGCCGCTGCATTAGTAGACATCTACAATTTTTCCCGAATCGTCGACAAAATTAAAAGTATTCACAACATACTAATGAATACGAGCTCTGCGGCTGCAGTTTGTGTGTGATTATCGATCACATGGACTTTCTTCTGAAGCCGCTTCCCCAAAAGAACAGCGCAAAATTTTCGAATGGACATCCGGTGCTGTACAACATCGATCCATTATTTATTCTAGATTAGATTACAAAGTTCGTCTTTTATATAAATAGTGAATGATGGGAAACGCGCATGTCAATGTTCTGCAAAAACTTTAATTAATTAATATATGCGCAAGACAAAGACATCTTCTTTACTATTTCTTTAAAATGAAATAAAAAGTTTTTTAAAAAAAAGTATTTTACTTAAAAAATACATATATAAATATATTGAATTAATCCAATTGAAGTGGAGAGCGTAGCTCTGTTTTGTCGCGGTTGGTCGTGGATATCGATCCGCGAGGGAGGCACGTGGGGTTTGGGTGGCGGCGGTCGCGGGGGGTTGATGTGTTCGGGGACAGGCTAAGGGGTTGGAGAGAGGTGGCGGGTTTTGGTCCCAGCCGTGGGGATCGGGGGTGGCTGTGGGTGGTTTGGTGGCCGCCGTTGGGCCACCCGTTCTGATGTGCATTGAGCGGCTGCCGCCAACGCCGCCATATACCCACCACCAAACCGTCCACCCTCGCAAAAACATAACATGATATTACAAAAAAAAAACTAATTTAAGTTGCGTTAAATTAAAAAAAAAAGTTAAATTAAAATTTAAAAAAAAAACGCAATAATGTGGAAAGATCACGCAACCAACAACAAAACATTTGTAACAAAATATAATAGATTAGTTCTAATAGTCAAGTGTACTACAGGGAAGTTAGTTCTTCAATATATAGTGTAGATTCGCTGATGATACAGCAATTTTTAGAATTCAGTTATTGCATCTCTGTCAAAAGCTGGATCAACTCCAAGAATGACTCAAAAAAAGGAGAATAGCATTGAAAGAAAGCAAATCAGCTCTACCTTGAAAGTGTATACGATCTCTAGTAAGAATCAACCCGTATCAACTACATTAACTAACTATAGAAGTTTAACGTAATCGTCACATTATCACAAATTAAAAAAGTACAGTCTTATAAATATATTATAAATATACTATATACCTCGCGTCCGATCAATAAAGCAATAGAGAAGAAAACCAGTAGTATTATTTAGTTGAACGGATCGGAGCATATAGATTTGTTTGTATTCATGTAATGATAATTACAGTTGGCTGACCGAAACTGGATTTATTTGCACATATTATTGCATGTATTTGCTGGGTTTACCACTGCAGATCATGAGTTCCTCTAATTATTTTTATGGCCTGAATACCATTTTTACTAAATGTACTCATCACCAATTCATTCACACTTGACTTCTTGAATATATTAAGATTATTTATTTTAAATTAATAAATATTGGGACTCAATAAGTCCAATTATTGTAAATAATATTTTAGTTTCAAATTACGTTTTGATAATGCAACATCGTAGTTTTCACTTAAACAACAAAATATAATTTAATAATAAACAAACATGTATAAAAAAAATACCTGATATATATTTCAACAGGTATATTGTGCATGCCCCAATTGGGTGCTCCATCACAAGCATTTCATATTTAAACTAGATTAGTTATTATCTCAACTGATATAAGGTAATGAAAAATGAAGCATATGTAGAACATTAGATCTTCGTTATTTATTTTTAAAGAGGAATCTTGCAGTTCAAATATTTCTACTGTAGAAAATAATATTTAGAGTAGGTGTGCACCGCTTTTGATACAAATTTGTTTTCGATGGAATACACACCAAACTATTTTTGTCTGATCTCCGGAAAATGTGAATTTGGTGCAACAAAATATGCAGCAACATCAAAGGATAAATAACACTTCGCTACTGAAATTATTTGCAGATTGCTAAAAAAAAATATTTCATTTGTGAAACAATATAATCAATAATAGCTTGTTGATGGAGCTTGCTCATAAATATAACTATTCAATTTGTAGATATTTATTAAAGTAATTTGAAATTTGAGTAAATAAATCATAAGCATAATATTATGCCAGATTATGGTAGTTTAGTAACATTAAGAGTGGATGAATGATTGGTAGCCTGGGCCATGTGGAGCTCATGGAAAATAATTTACCACCGACACCGGAAAAATCGATAAACAAAAACTAGTATAAATGTAATTGAAGTTTTAAGCTAAAACAACAATGATAGATTTAAAGAACATTTAAATTGTGTGCTTCATTTTTAAAATAATGTATTCTAAATATAGCGGAGTGCCAAAATATAAAGATTTATGTTGGTCGCAGTCAAAGATCTTGTCCCATATGCGAGGATCGGGTAGTGAAATGTGCAAGGAAAAATTATTGAACTTGGCCATTGGCCTCGGCTATGATGCATGATGGAGGCCGTGCCGTGGATTGCAAGCAGTAGCAGCACACACATGCGAACGCGTAAATTTCCGGCCGATATTTTAACGAGTCATAAAATGGTTGTTGCATAATTGGTGGTGGCCGAAGGTGGATAGAAGCAGCGAGGAAAACCGAGAACAAACTGTTTATTGTTGCAGGAGTTGGGCTACCAGAAGCAAACCACGCTCACCACCAATTTTCCCATCGATATAAATAAATGGCTAATATTAGACAGACGGAAAACAAATAAATTAATAATCTTCGTTAAGACGCCCACGCGCGCAAATTGAATGACAATTCGAGAAATCGCATTGAAAAGTGCACGTTGTGTAGTATATCGATTGGAAATCGATGCGAGACCGGAAAATTATGTGCTCGAACTTAGCGTAGCAACAACGCGAAAAGTATGGAAATATGCAACATATAAACAAAAGGAGATCTCGAAGGCAGAGTGTGCTGTTCCCGGAATTGAGGAAATAATTGAATGCACGCGAAATAATGATGATCAAATTCTGCGCGGACTTCCGCCGCCGACGCCGTGGTAACTTTAATTGGGGGCCGAAACTTTTTTAATTAAAACTTCCATCGGATGATCAAATAAACTTTCGATAATTACTAATTGTACAAAAGTACATCGCACTATTAGGAAACGACGTGCAACAATTGGGCGACACTCGGGAATAGTCATGCGTCCTGTCACTTCTATTTACATACATGCCCAACAACAAATCAATCTATTTGAAACATCTATCGAAAATTTAGTTGCGTTCTTAGGACAATCACAGCAACAAATTATGTTTTAAAAAACGTTCAGTAAAATAATTTAGTTGTATATTCATTAATTTTGGAATTTCCAATAGTTCAAATAAATGTCAGATTAAAACCCCTATGCGATAACCTTTTGAATACATTTATATAAATATCAATAACTATGTGATTTGCAATAATTAATTTGAATCTATTCGTAAAGTGAGATTAAGGAATCTCGTGTTGTTATCTACCTTTTGATGCAAACTTATGATGGATGATACATGTTATCTTTATAGTTTTCATGGTTGACTTTCTATTATATAATCTAAAGAAAACTGATGAATTCATAAGTATTAAAATAAATCATTTCCATAGTTATAGACACGTAAAATCAATTTTAATCATAAGCAATAAATTTGATACTTTCATGTTGATGTACATGTAAGAGACTAGAAAAATAAGGATGACTTTTGAGAGGGAGCGGCATCCACGATTTTATTTATTCCCTACGTGCATCATGCATTTTAAATTTATATTTTCTAATATAAAAATAGTGAATCCCCGCAGACGAGTTGCATTTCCCCCGGATATAAAAGTTCGTGCTGCGGGAATCCGAGAAACTCGAGAATTTTTGAAGACTATCGCATTTTTTTGTTGACCTTTTTTCAATTGAAAAATACGTAATGCGCACACAGAAAACGAAAGCAATATCTTTATTATTTTTTTTTGGTTTATCGTTTCGTTCGTCCGTTTGTGCAAATCGATCGTAGGATCGTGCGTATTCAGTTTGCGTCGAGGAATGTTTCAAGATTTGTAAATGGCAATGCCACATAAGGAGTAATTCAGCATTTTGAAATTCCGAACTGGTAGGTTATTATATTCCGTTCGAAGTCACGCAAAACAAGAGAGAAGAGGAAGAGGAGAGAAGAAGAAGAAGAACCAATTTAAATTGAGACTTGGTCTTCACCTTTGTGAAGAGTTTAACGAGCGCGCGCGTGCATGTGTTTGTGTGTGTGTCTGAGCGCGCTGAGGTGATGTTGAGGATCTGTTGGTGGCTTGGGTAGTTGTTGCATATAGATACGGGGCGAATGTTTAAAGTCATCTAAAAGTCTTGATTAGCTGGATCGATATTCCCCACTTTGGTGTACCTGTCTTGTCACCAGCCGCCTCCAGCTCAGGCTGCACTCCCCAATATATACATATATATATACTTATACATATACCCATCCGTATTGCGTGTGAGTGTGTGTGTGTGCAATGCATGCACATACATATACAGCACATACACACACATGCATAGTTATATTTGTTTCGTAAAACCTTGCCAGAGCTGTACCCGAACGGGTCGCTATGACAACTGCCTCTGGTGGTGCTGTTGCTGGCATGGTTGTTCTTTCCCCGCGACTGTACTTTTATAATTACACGCAAAAACTGGCCGAGCGAACGCCGTCAACTAACTCCGCGCTGGAGCTACCGTCGTCTCGCTCGCACCCCATTGCAGATCCCATGGCCATTCACCACCACTCACCCTCGTCCCATCTCTGTCTCAGCCAAGCGCGATTCACACATACCGACACCACCACCCCGGTTCCGAACCAACCACCCCTGCCGCCCACCGCCCAGCCTCCTCCTGCCTTCACCTACAACTATTGTTATACCATCTATCGCTTCTCCTCACTCCACCACCTCTCAAACTTTCCTTTTCTCTCTCTCTCTCTCTCTCTCTTTAACATATCCCTCCCGCCGCCCTCGCGTTCCTCGTGCGCGCATTCATTTCTACATGAACACCAAACACATGAGAAAATCCAATTCATTTGACCGACACCCATCTCTCATTGCTGCATCAAAAGTGGAACTCGATCGATAACAAAAAACGGCAGTCGTGCATCCATCCAATCCACCACTTTATACCGTCCGTATAATTCAAAATTCGCTTTCCAAAATAACACATCCCGAAATAAACAATTAATCGGTGGCACGCACAATGGAAGTCATTAACTACGCCAAAAATAGTTCGCCTCTCGGATTGTTTCTTCTTTTCACAAAACTATATTTGTATTGGATCATCAGGATGTGACGAAGAATATAATTAGATTTAAACAATAAAAAAAAATACAAATTCTAGAGCAAAGGGTAAAGATCAACATCGATTTCTGGTATATTGAAACACTATAATTCCAACAAAACTAATTTCGTTTGGGCTCTCCGAATATAGATCGGTGTACTAAAAGAAATACAACGATACTCTGCCAACAGCGGTTTCATGTTAACGCAGTTCATTTATTATGTTATGAATTTCTCGGTAAATTAAAATTTTACGACTCATTAAGACAAATCATCGATTGATTAATCGGAAAATTCTCAAACTTCTATATACCTTGCTAGTTTAACAATAATTAATTGATTACATAAAACAATTTCAGATATTTTAGAAACAAAAATATTACATTAGTTATGGGTAAATATCAAAGTGGAAACATTAAGTAAACTTAGGTTTTCGGTCGCATTTTCCCAAAAACCTAATGGCTAGAGCTCTGAATTTTAATGGCAACAGAACGCGTTCATCACGCGCTAAACGGATTACAGCCTCCTATGTAGATAAAACCATGTTGGTCTGTCTACTCGGACAATTTATAAATTGGAGGATTAGCGATGGCAGCTGCCAAAGGACGAATGCGGTGGTGGTAATAGTGTTTCGCGTGCGGTGGACAAATTTCAGTTGTACAGAAGAAAAAAATAGGAAGTCTCTCCCCCACAAAAAGTCATACACACTGGACACGTAACGTAATCGTATCATACATATTTCGACAGAAAAGAACGACAAAAAAAAACCTATATACATACGAAGAGAACGAAGATAAGATAAAATAATCTATAGGAGTAATCTGGTCGCACGAGAGAGTGGTGTTCGTTTCGGTTGACTCCGAAAACGATGGGAATAATAATGAAACGGGAAACTGGTAAAATGCGGATGAAATTACCCATGGAACAATTAAAACATCATTAAGCCGATCGCATCGACGCGTTAAATAGGCTACCGATACTAAATAATTATGCGAATTAATTAAATCTAAAACTGTATTTACCATCGATATATTCGCGAATGGACAAATATCAGCAAAAAGCAGTAATTAGTGCATAATCAACGTTGTGCAACAAGCGATCATGATTTTCGAGTAAACCATTGAATAAATACACAAAAACTTATCTAATCTTTTGAAAGAGTTTTCCAGTGAAGCAGATGCACTAAACGAGTAGGAAACATAATTTCAACATGTCGAAAGCAAAACAAGAAATTTTATCATACTTAAGAATATATTAAATTGAATCAATGAAATGTTATATTTTTATATTTATATCATTATAAGATACTTTCCAACTAGTTAAAAGTTATTTAAAATAATTTAAAACTAATCTAACAAACTAAATATTTGTTTGTTAGACTGATTAACTTTAATAACAAATTGCGTCAATTGAAAATACGTATGCAAATACTATATGACTAATTAAATTTGATGTTGGGTTTAGCAAATCACCATAGTATATATTTTCAGCTATGAGTTATAAAACTAGACTCTGATATTATTAATGTTACTTTAACCCGAAGATAAATATACGAAGTCACAGAGACACGGAGTTAATGAGGAACGGAAATAAAAAGAGAAAAATGCGCTCGTACCGGCGTTGTTATGAATCTGTTGTAATTATGGAAAATGTAATACGTGTCTCCCCGGTTAATTAACTCGGCCAGGAGCAGTTTTACCGGACAATCGTTGTGTTGTCTGAAAACAACGATTTAAAAGTCAGCTCTGTTGACGAGCAGACGAGAAGGTAGAGACAAAAGTAAAAAAAAACAGTGAATAACAGGAGGAGTATATAACGCATTTGGTTCCGCATAGTAATCTGCTGTCGTTATTGAAAGTGGTTAACAACAGGGGAAATGTGAGAGAAGAGGTGGAGGATTGGCTTTAAGTTTGTCCGTTAACTTACATTGGTGTTTATCGGCGAGCTGAATCAAAGGATTGGGCAGGTCCCGCCGCCTGTAGAAGCACATCACTTTCGCCTCGACGTTTCCGGACGCCGTCTTGTTCAGTTCTTCGATCCTCCGGATCTGGTACGGGGACGTCGAGGACGTCTCAAAATACACATAATCTGCAATGAAAGAAAACAACAAAATTAGGCTCATAGTTTCATCTGGGACAGAACATTGAAATCACATGGAAATTATATTTATGGTCGCCATCTGTCTTCCCCCCTCAGTTCCACCCCAATATGCATGGCACAAAATACACAATTACATTCACAGCTAGCTTCCGTCAAATCGCCGAAGCCAAAACCATTCATTGAAACAAATCAACCATTGAATACTAACTAACCACTGGCTTCTTACTTCCATATGCTAATTAAACTAATTAATTCTTATAAACATCTTACTAGATGTCGTAACACGTATATTTACTGAAACCAGAAACATTCAATTTACTATTTTAGTTCGAGCAACTTTTTTTTATATATATATTGGTTTTTTCTAGTTAATAAATTACATTCATATTCATAATAATAATAAATTAAAGTCCACTAAACAATTTTGTTGGTAAAAATAAGATTGAAAATAGATTTCAAATAATTTTCATTATTTCCATACATACATCGTGTTTGAGTCGTGCGTTTAATGCGTTCACCGAACACAGGCTTAGATGGTGTGGTGTATCAAGGCGTGTCTTTTGGTGAACTTCCGGTCCTCCATTGACGTAATATTTACGTACGGAGAGATAACCAACTGGTATCGAAAAACTTTACCAATATGAAAACTTCTAACAAACGCACTTTATTCGTAGTCTCATTCAATTTGTTTCAGTTACTTCACGAACGCTCCCTGCCTAATTATATAAATAATTATTTGTGTAGCGCACTTTTAATGTACCTAATATAATCAGTCTGTAATACCTTCCAGACGGCGCCACAATATATAGTGAGCGTCCGGCAATTTACTGTAAACGCTATTTACACATCGAAATACTACAGTTAATTACGTTAAGTCTTTTTTAACTTTCGACAGATAACTTTGACTAAAACATACGCTTTTCAAAACAAATTTTCATATTATTTTGAATAAAAATGCACCAATTAATTAGTTTTATAAAACATAAAAGTTACAAAGTTCAAACAATAAATATACTTTAATTACAATGTGTTATTTAAAATACGACATCATCTGTGCTCAATATGTCAACTGAACAATTAACAAACAGTTTTGTTTATATTTCTAACATATCACCAGATATTCTTAATATGAGTAATAATTACATTCTTAAACTATTATGACTGACCACATATTCTACATAATGATCGCAGGTTTTTTTTTCCTCTCCAATTATTCGTAACGTGTTTTTTCCGAGAACAATTATTCAATTTCGCCGAATGAGAAAAAAAAATACGACAGACTGAATTGGTTTATTTTGCAGTTTTCTACCATTAGAATTGTGATCGATTGTATAATTTATTCTGTTCGCTATTTCTAATTGCAGTATACATTTCCTTGTGACTATTATTATATTCCGATACACACGTCCAAAGGTTCAGAGTGCCAGTTATTCAGATTTCTACAAAAAAAAAAAACAACTAAACAACAATGTGGACTCCTGCGAGCAGCACAACACTTGTCCGTATTTGTGAAAGTTGCACTGTACACTATCATTTATCGTTGCGTAACGATTCAATAAGCGAAAAAGAAAAAAAAAGCGAACGCTGAAATTCAGTTTTCGCGTGCTACGAAAATGCAGTTGCTGTTAGGTAATTAATCACAATTAATTTCAATGATATAAATAAACATTCAGCACCATTCACTTAATTATTTGCAACGAAATTTATTATACATTTTATATCAAGATTAATCATTTATTATAGCTTTAATAAAAGCAAAAGTAGTAGCAAGTTGTATTTTCAGTATCAATGAATTTATTGGCACTCAATCATGTGTCTATGAAAATAACACGATTTACCAAGCAAATTGAAGATTGTTCGATTTCTACATTTCAATCATTCATATAACAAATCCAATCCAGGCTATGTATGACTATAGTTTTCTTTTCTTTCTATTTAACTACTTTGTGCATATATACTATACTACTAAGTGACTTATAAGCTTCATAAACTGTGAAACCTTAAGTTACTGTATACTGTATAAGTTACATAATTTTCAAAATTTGTAAAACATTAAAATCATTAGAATCAAAACGATTTAATTTTTTTTTAATAAACCATTGATTTTGATATAGTTGAATAAATAAAATCGCTGTTATCGTATTTCTCAAAAGTGGCGTTGAAACGTAAACACATTGTTTTTATTTTGGAGAAGCAGCAAAAGAGATCTAATTTTTTCGACGAATTCCAGGTAGCAAAATGCAAGGGTAGTTCTTGGAACACCAATAAACAGAATATTCCCGTTGCGTTCAAACCAAATGTATTTTATGTAATAGTGTGTGCATTTACATAACACACCGAGCAACAGGCATACCACGCTTACAAATAATATCGTTACGCAATCGAATGAAAAACTAATTACGAATTTGCGATTACTGAAAAAGAAAAGCTACTGCTTACAGATGTGGGTTTAGAGTGGGGGAGGGTTGGTTTGAGCTGAATGGAGTTATAGATAATTCGTTTTCCTTTTTTTTTCCCTAATTTAACCGGGATTATTTTCCTTCCTAGAAGGATTTTAACGTAAATCGAGTTTTTTTTTGTGAAGAAAAAAAAAGAGGTTTTCTGCAAAGGAAAACATTTATTTACGTTTAATCCGGGCATAAATTCTGATGCTATTATGATAACATGCCTTCTCCCCCACTTCCACCAGCGCAGAGGTACACCTTCCTCCAGATTACGTATGCAAATAAACGAAATTAGATGAACTCGATGAAGAAGGAGGTGGAGGAGGAAAGACGAAAAAGTGCGAGCAAGGATCGACGAAGCGCGCCAAACAATAAATCGGAAGATCGGCGGAAGGAAATGATGGAATAATGTGGGAATAAAAAAAAAATAACATAACCAAAAATCAAGCGGTGCACGTTTCGGAATCAAAACAACGAAACAGCGAACGGCGTCAGGTTCGATGCGGCCCCCACGAATATTGGACATTCGTAGACCTGAAGCCGGTTAATTAAGGGAAAAGAGCGCGCGTTCGTATGTATGTGTGTGTGTATGTATATGCTTTCATGTATGTACGAATGCTCGGTACGTATGTGTGTATATGCGGCAGAGATCATCACACACTTACACAAACGTACAGCACATACTCGCATACACACACACACACATATACAACGAAATCGCGGGGGGAAATTAATACATTAAATAAAAAGACTCACCGCCGACTCTATACATGTTAGCTGTCATCTTTAGTCCGTGAAACGCAATCACCTCACTTCATGCAACAACTAGTTCCATCCGCCGAACATTGTTTATTGAACTACACGCGGAAAATCTTCAATGTTTTCTCACAACACATATCACCACTGAACCAGCAGTCGCCATTTTATTTAACTCCCTGTTGGCGTCTGCCATAAAGAATCACAGACGCACACTGTTGACGTGCACAATGCTGCCACCTGCAGCCAAAAAACGGATACCACCCTCCCCCGACTCGTATGCAACCAAACTATCACCATATTATTCTTCCTGTTGCTACCGAAGAATGGATGATTACCCTTAATACCCATTGTACCCAGATCCAGATGGCATCTTCAAAAGTTCGATTGTATCCAAACATTCCTCAATGCACAATAGAAACAATATCTTCATTTGTATAAACAGGGTGACCCATGAAGTCATTTTGATGCGGTGTTCATCTTCAACAAACACAACTTGATGACATTCTTTTGAAATAATATTCAACAAAATAAATTGATTTTGCTTGATTCGTGTTTTTGTTTATGTGATTTCAAAGTTTTAACAATAAATGTAATTATATTAAATTAAAAAAAAACATGTTAAATACATAACTTGGAATTTCATTTGTATAAACAGGATGACCCATGAAGTCATTTTGATGCAGTGTTCATCTTCAACAAACACAACTTGATGACATTCTTTTGAAATATTATTCACCAAAATAAATTGATTTTGCTTGATTCGTGTTTTTTTTTTGTATGTAATTTCAAAGTTTTAACAATAAATGTTATTATATTAAATTAAAAAAAAACATGTTAAATACATAAGTTGGAATGTAAAAACTAAATGTTTTCTTGGTAAAGGTAGAATGTTGGATGAAGTAAACTTAATAATTTTAAGTATTAAAAATATCATTTTTTATTTTATTTCGCAAAATTTCGTGTTTTTTTTTTTGTATATTTTATCAATCATTTTATATAAACATTGGCATGCCGTTTGAATCTCAGCAAAAATATAAATCTTATATACACATATAAACCATTTTTCACCTATACATAATATATCTCTAGTTAGACTAGTATCACAAGAAAAAAAAGGTAATAACACTGGAACGATACAAAAAAATAACAAAACATATAAACGACAGCACAGTATACTACTACTCTATAATGTACGAATTATGAATTGGTAACATATGATAAAAGGGATTGATTATGAAGGGGGTGGATCGTCGCTGTAATCTCTCGCTAGAAACAGCTCCATGAGGTCTCCCACGGTAATAGTATCGTTGGGTTGTGCACATAGGATCCCGCTGCTGATAAATAGAAGTGCCAACACGATGCTTAGCACTGCACAGCATATACTCACCACGCCCAACGTCCGTCCTCGACGGAGGACCTGCAGAAAACTATCCGAACGGCTGAGGAAGTTGAAATCAATTGTATCATAATCGTCGTTTTTTTTATGCTACTATTTACCTCGAAGGGCTTGGAACCTCGGCGTGAAATTCCGATACCGATACCAGCTCTTGGTGAAGATTTGTGTACCGCTGCAATTTCAGCGTCAGAGCGTCCAGCTTCTTTCGCAAGGTGGACACGTAGTTGATCATAAGGTTGATCGCCCTTAGCATTCGATTCTCCTGCTTCAAACCACCTAACAGCTCTGCCGACCGGGAAAGATGTAACCCATCCACCAGCAGCTGCTCTACCTGCAGAAAACCTCAGCTTTAACATACGAACTTTTTTCTATATCATCGCGTAATTACCTTTCCTTCCGCTAGCTTTAAAGATTCCCCTTTTAGGTGCCTTTGCAGGAAGCATTTGAAATCTTGAAACAACGTCGTCATTTCCAATTCGGACTTGTTCAGTTCTGCCGATTGCTTTTCGCAACGTTGTTTTATTGTGTTGCTTTCCATCGTAAACTGCAGTACGAATGTCATAAACTTCTCTTCCAACTCCGAGTCTGTTAAACTCTCGCGTCTAAAATCCATACGGCGTCTTAGTTAAATATACTCTATATAGAAAATAAATCAACTCACTCAAAATTTTCGAAACTTTGACCGGTTCCGTTCAAGGCAAACATTGGTCTGTCTCCAGTTTCCGCGTCTTCATAGATCGTGTTATTTACTTCCTAGAATGCAAAACATAAATGAATATGGAAACACTTGAAATGGAGTTTAGGGATGTGCGAGAGGAGACGGGCCAACGTTTATTGAAAACAAAACATGAGTGTAACTCACTTGGTGATCATCCGACGAATTGATTTCTTCTATAGAAACACTACTATTGGAGACCGTGTCCACGTATTGACCGCCAGCACTATCTGGACTGAGCTGCCTGCTGTCGTTGTTAGTAACAAAGTCTTGTTTATCGTTGTTTGCAGTCAGAGTATAATCGGCTAAAGATGTATGCGATATTTCCTGTTCCACCGATGGACTGTCCGGACTCACTGGTCGCGCCAACAGAGTTGGAGGTTTCAGTGTAAAACCTGAATTACTCGTGCTACAGAAAAAAAAAAATTTAATAGGAAATTCGAAAAATATTGCATCTCCTAATTTACCAATTAGCGGGAACCGAAAAGGAGAACACTGTTTTGCGCTCTAATAAATGAACTAGATCGATGAAATCTATTTCACCCTTAAAAATGAAATGATTTAAATCTTAAGATTGCAGCCATTATTATTATTATTAAAACTTACCAAACGCTCAAGCATATTTATAATTAATTGAACTTCGATTTTCAGAAGGAACAATTCTTTATCTATCAGTCTGTCGTAGTTGCGATCAGAGAGCACATGCTCGTCGTTGTCGATTTTATCAAGAACGTCCTCCATGGATGGGATTTTTTCCAGGACGTATCTCCATTTCTTCACGAAGTTAAAGATTGACCTACACACTCAATAAATTAATATATTTTTTTGTTTAACCACTCTCTACGTTACCTCCGTAACCGATGTCTATTATCAAAGATGATCACATTTGTAGAAGCAGAATCCTTCTCCAACTTCATTTCATTATCTTTCACCAAATTCGCCAGTTTCTGCTTCCACTCGACGCTCAATTTATCCTTTTCCTTTCGCTCCTTCTCCAGCAGCTCTTGGAAATAAATCACTTTATCCTCAAGCTTATCCAATTTATATTGCAAGCGGCCGTGTTTATTTCTCTTGCTATCCACGTTTCTTGAATGCTGCGGCCGCACATCATCTTCGCTCAACTCCTCTTTACTGGACTGCACGAGCTCCCTCTCCTTCATATCTAATCTCTCTCGCAAATTTAGTATTTCCAGATCCTTCGAACGCAAATCACCATTGAGCTTTGTCAGTGAATTCTCAAAGTTTGTCCTGTGGAATTCTAATACGCAACTTTGACTCTCCAAGTATTGCGACAAAACTGTATCGTAATTAGTAAACATTGTAGGTTCTTTCCGACAGTCCAAGCATTTATAGGAACTCGTCGAAAGAATCTCCTTAAGTTCGCGACTGCAACAAGAGAGATATTCGAGGATCTTCTGACGATCCGCAGTGACATCGGACAGTTCAATGCGTAACGAAGTATTTTCGTTAACAAGAAAAGACATATTATGACAATGCTTGGTGAATTCTTTCTCCAGCACATCCATGTCCATTTGAGACCTATCAATATGTTTTCCCACATCTTCCAATTTCTGAAAACATTAATTGTTAATATAAATCATGCAAAATATGATAAACTTAAACAGTACTTTGACGTAATATTGCTTATCTTCTACAGCGTTGCAGAGGAGTTCATTCAAATTCTTGTTCCGAGATTCCAGCTCAACAATTGTTTCCGATAGCCGCTTCCTGAAAGAATCGGCCTCCGTTTGTCGCATAATCCAACTGCTGTTTTCGTTGTGCAACCTGTCCAATTTCATGTTGACTTCGTGCATTTCTGATTTGAATTTCCTACTGTTGACGTCGATTTCGCGCTGCAACTGTTCGATCTCGCGCACTTTCTCGCAATTCAGTTTCTCTAGACGATTCACATTCTCTTGATGCAATGTAGTATCAACATTATAACGCTCTAACAACGAATCAAAGCTAGTTTGCAACTTGTCGTAATCATCTTCCAGCATGCTGTGTATATTTTCTAATTGGGATAACTTATTTTTTGAATCGTTGTGTTGATCTACTTCCGATTCCAATTGATTAGCAAGATGAGCAATCTCTGATTGGAGTTCTTTAAATCGATTGTCCGTGTTCGTTTTGTATTCCCGTAACTGCGCGAGTTCGATTTGTAACTGTTCGTTATCTTTGACTAAACCGTCGTAGTTGGAAATGTTTTCGTTCTGTATATTGGCTAGGTCCGTAGTCAGGGTTCGAATTTTCTGCGAATTCGTATCGTTTGCCGCCTGAAGCGTCTCTTTTTCGATCAATATTTTATTGTAATTCTCCACCAATTCTCTCCATTTATCGCTGATACCCTGGAACTCTTTCAGCTTATTTTCTAGATCTGCGTTATTGCCAACCAACTGCTCTATTTTGACTTTGTCCTCGGCTATTTGTTTTTTAGATTTATCGGAATCGGCACGCAAAAGATTGATCAAAAGTTCGTTCTTCTGCTGTTCGTTGAAGTCGTTCTGTACGCTACTATCCAAATCGTGTTTGTCGTCTGACATCAATTGATCTTTAAACTGAATCAATTGTTACGTACATTAGTATTTAATTAATAATATCATTAGCAAACCTGTGATAATTCGGACTGCAGACTCTGATGTGGAGATTGATTGGTGGCTATCTGAAGTTTCAACATGAACTCTTCCTCGCTGCTGCTGTCGTTGTTGCGATTAGGTGGAGTTCTACCAATTATGAAGATCGGTGGCGGCGAATTAACAACTTCGTCGTCACCTTTAGGCACATGGAAGGGTTTATAAGGTATAACATCTTTGCATGTATTTGAGTTCGTGTGGTTTGTGCATTGTGTAGGTGTAAGCGTTTGAATCTCCTTGACATCTCCAGGAACCGACCTATCCAAAATTATGCTGTGATACTTCCTGCGAGCGTAGGGACTGTCGATGTTGAAGAACTCGAATCTATCAGTGGAGACGGCCGGAACGAATGGTACTTGAGTGGCGCTTGTATTGGAATGGTGAACGGATGTGTTGTGTGGCGATTTCTGTTGAATGAGAATTGAAGAATTTTTATACTCACTAAAAGAAGCCGAATGCCTTCTCGACGAATTTTTCATCTTTTCATGAAGCATTCTTTCCAACTTATTCTTCTCAACCTGCAGACACTGAAAACGGATTCAATTTGATCAATCGTACATTAACGTTTCACAAAGCATACCTCGATTGTATCTTTATAATCATCAATGATTTTCTTATGCTCATCCACTTCCTTCATAATATCCATATTGATTTGCTCCAGTTGCGCCATTTCTTTGTCTTTATAGTTTTGCTCAGTCTGTAACTCTATAAACGATCTCCTAGTCTCTTCCATTTTCGCAATGATGCGAACGTTTTTCTCCTCACACTGCACTTTCTGTAAAACAATAAGAAACAAGAACTTCAAAAAATAAAACCTTTTCAAATTACGCGAATTTACTTCTTTTTCGATATCTTTAACTTGCTGCTTCAAATTGGCGTTTTCCTTCTCCATACTGCTCAACTGCCTGACCAGTTTGTCCAATTGTTGTTTCGCATTCAAAGACGCATCGCGCAAATCTTCGCAGTCCGTCCTTTCTTTCTGCAAATTCTCATTCACTTCGTGTTCACTGAAAACAAAGTCACCTCAATCACGGGAAACAACAGAAAATCGAATTGGACTCACTGCGTTAACAGTTTGTTAATTTTTTTCAATTCCGCTTGAAGAATTTCATTTTGCTCTTCTGCATTGCCCAGCTGCAATTTCACACGCGACAATTCATTCGCTCCTTTGCGATTCTGATGCACGAGTTCATTGATCTGATCTTCGTAAAACGTCTTATCCAGTGCACCACCTAATTCAAACAATTAGAACAAATTTGTTAGTTAATTACTGTTGGCTTACCTTGTGTATTGTTCAAGAAACTTGTTTGCAGTGACTTGTTTAATTCCACATATCCTCTTAGAAATCTATTACCAAAACTGGATCGAGGAGTGGATTGCACATAGGGAACAAACTGGTTGTCATCAAATTTTCCCATTTCAATGCTGCAAATTATTTGTATTAAATATACAACTATGTATAAATTAAAAATTATTAGTTATTTACTTTGGGGTCATATTAAGAAAGTCAGTTTCTTTTGAATTGGATGCCTCCTCATTGACTTTCTTGGCCCATTCAGTCATCACATTGTAGAAGAATGAGCTGGATATTAAAGGATTCACATTTTCAGGATCAAGAGCTGCCTGCAACTCTAGCAATTCAGACCTGCAAAAGAAAATAATATTAGCTTTATGCTCTATAGAAATTTGCATGAAACTTACTCATGGTCTGGCATAAATGGTTTTATAAACTCGACTAGATTGGAAACCAGCACTTTGTTGATGCCATCCATGTCACAGGACAGGTATATATCCTTCATTGCTTTACTAATTGTTACATCTTAAAAAGAAAAAGTTGAGAAAAGTTGTTCCAATTGGGTTAAACATTAAACAAAAGTTATTCTACCTTCATTTTCCAATACATTGTCTTCGTTCTCCATAATTGATTACTCAATTATTCCACTAAAGCCCGCATAAGAATATCCACTAATTTACAACAACGCTGGTGATTACAAAAAAATAACAATTCCAAAAAAGAATTTCCGTCTTTCAAATTTCGAGTGAAATTTTGACAGATTCGGACGTTATTTTTGGCGGCAACTACAAATATATCAAATGTTTTGAAACTATAAACATTTACCTCATTTGTTTAAGCTCTGCTAAAATTAATCCATTATATCGATAAAGATTAATAATTCTTATACCGATTTTACTTACCCTTCGAGGGTTAATGTCCCTCCAGGGTCTACATTACAAGAATTTTCAATACAAAAAAAATATGAGTAAATTATAGTTTGGTAGTAAATAATATTATACAAAGAGAGGCAGAAAGACCTATGGTCAATAGCCCTTTGTATCAGTTATACAAAGAGATTACTTAAATTCTGTTTTTAAACAGTTTCTTTGTCAATAAGCTTAGTTTTTTTAGAGTCGTGCAGTACCTCGAGTATCACGTTTAGAAACCAACTTCAGGCCATATTGAAAACCCGAAAATGGCGTATTGTTTAATGTCAACAACACATAGATCGAATATTGCATGAAATCTTATAACAATTGTTAAGAATTGCATCTTTTGTGCTATCGATAATAGAAGTAATACGTACGATATAACTGTGATACTTGATTTGAGTGCGTACGATGAGTGTGTGATAGGAAAAAAATTGTTCGGTTGTGAGGTGAGTGTAAAAGGTAAATCGAATGGCATCATCAGAGTCGGTGTAAAGTTTAGTTTGTGGCAAGTTTTAAAGTGCTCGTATTAAAATGGAATCGGAGACGGAGTTCAATAGTTTGCTGTTCGAAAAGAAATTGTCCAATTTGAAGGATTCACAAGACAGCATTAATGGCTGTTGTCATTGGTGTTTGGAGAACAGACAACATCACAAGAAGATTGTCAACATTTGGCTGAATGTGCTGAAACGGGTGCGGATCGAGCAGAGACTCACATTGTTTTATCTTGCAAATGACGTTATACAATACTCAAAGAGGAAAAACTATGATTTCGTCGAGAGCTGGGGCACTGCCCTGCAGAAAGCCACCACCATGGTCAGGTATGTTTAATTTTGCATCCTTCTCCAGTGTTCTCCAAATTAATTTGTTATTTATTAAGAGATGAAAAGGTTAAAAACAAAATCCTGAGGATCTTCAAGATCTGGGAAGAACGTAGTGTTTATGGTGAAGAATTCATAACTGATCTCTCCGGCCTCATTAGTGCATCTCCAACTAACAAAAAAATAGAGGAAATGCATGATTTCCAGGCAAATTATTTGATAAATAAAATACGGAGCTGTTCAAGGCTGCAAGATGATACAGACTCAAAGTTGAAACTCTTCAAGCAGCACAACCCCAAACTTCTTGATGGTGAAGCACTTGTTTCTTCTCTCAAAGGTACGCATTCAAATATCAATTTGCTTAGAATTTCTTAAATTTAGGTTTAATCATTATAGACAGAGCTCATGTTGATGATGTAGAGAAAGAAATGGATGATTATGTTTCACATATGGAAAAATATATAAATGCATTAAAGTTGGAAATTAGAGCTAGAAACAATCTGGTGAATCTCCTGTTGAATGCAGAAACGCATTTGGAAAAGGATAGGAAGGATGTGAAAGTTGTTGCTGTTGTAAGTATAAATATTTATAGAAAAAAATAAAAAGAAAACATTTTGTACCTTATTTATATTTTCAGGCATACAAATCATTTGCAACAAGAGTTAAAAATTTGAAGAAGAAATTGGATGAAAAGAAACTGACATTGAGCAGCCCAATTCCATCTCCAGATATAAATGCTCCTTCTCCAAGCCCAGACTCTGACATTGACTTACCTGATATTGAAAGTGCAAAAAGTAAGTAAAGTTCTTTTCTTTTATAATATTGTTCCACCATAAGCTGTTGAATCATAAATTGTTTAAAAACTAAGTGTTATATGAAATGTATATGGAGACTAGTCTTTAAATAACATCAAAATTGCTTAGGATATTTTGTTACAATCAAAAATATTTAGATACTTTTTCAGAGGAAATAACTTTCTCAAATCCAGGATTTTATAATCCGGTGACGACGGTAGCAACAACAGATGCAAGCAATTACGCTAACAATGGTTTTACAAGTTTCATTGGATCAAATTTACCGTTTAATATACAAGTAAGTATTTGCCCCATAATTTCGTTGATGTTTATAGATTCTATTATTTTCTATTCTTTTTTTAATTTTTAGGATCTGAATTCGACGACTTTATTCACAGATTCCAGACAATCTAAAATTTCTACCACCAACATTATTACAAACAGTTCTCAGAACAGCGATAGCAATTACACGCCGGCAAACTCATCGTTATCCAGTTTATTCACTAACCTGACCCAACCACCCCCGCCCCCCGTTACAGTGCAACAAACCGCATCCACCTACAATTATACTCCCGCCCCTTTGGCTCCGCCGCCATTGCCTCCTTTTGCGAAATCAGATTATGATTCTGGCTACGGCGACTTTAGCATCTCCAATCAAACTACGTCCAATTATGGTAATTAGATGAAATTTGAGTTTTTTTTTTAAATATTATATTTGTTTGGTTTTCAGATAATTCTTATAGTCAAAGCACAAGTGCTAACAATGATCCATATCAGAGTTACAATTCTTCATACAGCAATGAATATAACAATACTGGGGATAATTTTAATCAGACTACGACGACGGATTCTACTGGTGGCTACAATTCTTACGATGCTTATAATCCGGAAGATGAGACCGAGACTTGGGATGCCGAGGGTCAATGGGATCAACCACCGCTGGACACACCAGCCAGTCCGCCTTTGTACGATAAAGAATCGTATGCTCAACCGATTGAATACCACGATGGACAGCATATGATGGGAGCGGTGGATGTAGACCATAGGATTTTAACTGCCGTTCCAAGCGCTAAGGGTATTTATTTGATTATATGCATTGCATATGTGTTAGTTTAAAACATAGTTGAACATTTTCAAAATGTCCGTATGATGTAAAACTATTATGAAAGTGTTTATTATGTTTGGGTATGTTTAATATTGCGATATTGATTTGTGCTGTGTTATAAATAGATAAGAAGAAAGATGTGGATCATAGGAATTTGATTTCGTTGATCGGATCACCGAAGAGTCATGGGACATCGAGCGAAGATGTTTGGACAGGAACAGGAGATCAAGTAATTTATCGAGACTGCGTTTGGCGTCAGAGGAGACGCTCTTGAAAGGTATTAAATGTTGATGTGTTTTCTCTTTCAGGACTATCGTAAACCGATAGAGACATGCTTGTCGAGTCCTATAAAGAGTCCTCGCAAGGTTCAGGACAACGTAGAGTCGATAGACATGGACCTGAGCGACGGGGAGGAGGTCGGCACCGAGAAAGGTGGCGAACTGTTACCGCCGCCGCCACCTCCCTTCGCCGACTTCGGAACGTACGAAGAGATCGAGGACGATGCAACCGTTGGAGGGCAGAACCGGCACGAACAAGCAGCGGTAGAAAACACGAGTTGGACGGACCAGCAAGATGCATTGTTTCGAGGTAGAGGTAATTCGAGCGGGCAATACGAACCGCGCGGCGGGGGTGAGTTTAATGGTCGCGGGTCCGCGCAATCCTTTCAAACGATCCGATCCAGTAATATTAACATTCCGCGTTACAATGCGCCTCGAGACGAGGATTATACCAACGTCGAATTCAGTCAGTTCAGTAGTCAAGAGGCGAATGGTAATGGCACTTTCAAAGGTCGCGGTAGCGGGCGGGTTTCGTCTGCGGTGACGGCCGCTGCTGCTGGTGCTGCTACTTCTGTCACTTATAGGGGTCAGATGGCCAAGTTCCGCGGACCTCGAGCAGGTCTGAATACGTGGACCCGCGGACTGGGCAGTCGGGGTAACAACGGTCGCGGCACCAACGGCTCTTATCCGCGCCCCGTCAGGCCCCGCGGCTTCCATCCCAGGGGTGGATTTCGCGGAGGAGGTAGCAACATAGCCACGAATGAGTTTTACTAGCAATTAGAGAACATGTATGTGTTCAACATACATTAACACATACATTTAAAAAAAAAAAAACATAACTGAGTTGCCTTTAAGATTGATGAAAAAGAAAGTGAACGTTGAAAGTTGTACATAGTTTTGGAGAAACAGAAACCATAGAATAACGAGTTTTATTCCTTTTCTACGAGTTTTATTTTTCTTTGGTTTAATTTCAAGTTTAGTTAGTTGTAAGTATGTGATTTCCCCATTTACTTGTTCATAATAATAAAAAAAGATAAGATTTTGTTTATATTTAATCATAATTTAGCTTGTAAGATAATGTTTATTCATTTGTTGAAATGATATAGAGAGAGAGGGAGAGAGAGCTGTAGTACAGTTGTTGGAGATGAGGAAGAACCAGTAGGGAGGAAACAGAATAATGACAATTACGAGAAATGACAAACTTTGGGTTCTTTTGTTTTTCTTTCACATTATTTTTGTTTGTTTTGTTTTTACAGTTATTGCAGATTTTTTTTTAAAAGCTGGAATTTGTTATGTAATTTGCTTCGAAATATATGTATATATAAAGTAATAGAAACAAACAGAGAGACACACAGTTTATCCACGAGTACACTAATAAGCAATTAGCGATAATGCAACCGAGGTGGGGCAAAGCGATTTGTACACTTGAAAGCAATAAATTTTCATTAACATTTCAGTTATAATTTTCGATTTTCCCGCCGTTTCCTGCAAGGTCGGCAAGCGCGTGATTGCCTTTACTGGCCGCTCCGCAGGGCCGTACTCGAAGCGAATTCAATGTAACAAATTTCAGCTTTTTCCCGATAAATTTTATAACATGTTTATACGATGTGACTAAAAAATAATATAGTTAAGTGAGAGTACTAAACGTTGATGATGATGGCGAAACTTGGGTGTTCTGAATATTATTATAAGAGATTTGATTCCGATATGTCCGTTTTCGTTAGTGATGAGATGCTCGTCGAGGACGGTACCAGGTCGCACTTGGTGTCCAGGATCATGCTGGACTTCTCCTTCAAGTTGCCAATGTCGTAGACGAGGGCGGTGAGGTCGCCTTTCAGCGGCAACGGATTCTCGTTGTCCTCGACGATGTCATTGAGCACGTTTATTAAGCTCTCGGTGACGCTCTCCGAGTCCAGATACTTCATCACTTGATCGGAGACGCGCGAGCATACCGTTTCCTCCTTGGCAGTCTCGATCTGCTCCTTTAAATTAGTTTCCGGAAATTTCCTAGTCACTATGTTATCGAATAGGGTAGTTAGGGAATGCATACATCCTTTAAGCTGGCGCTCGCGGAGCTGCCTCTCCTTGTCAAGCTTCACGTACTGCGCCGGACTCAGCGAGGCCAGCTTATCCACCATCATCGACTTGTTCTTTGGCTTCTCGCCGATCGGCTTGAATGCATCCCCACTCTGAATCCATTGAATGTCCCTCGAGTTCTCGCTGAGCGAACGCTTCGACCTTTTAGAAATCGAATAAGCAGGTCTCCGATGTCCACCACCTCCACCGCTGATGACATCCAATTTGCACACTTCGTGCTGTATCCTAGTGATGCTCGTGCATATCGAATCCCTGCTGTATTGATCTGCATTCCCGACAAAGAACACACGACATCTTATTATTACTCCGCATACGTATACCACCTACTAACTACCTCTCGGTGTCCTTCGCAGATGGATTGTGTGCGGTCTCAGTGTCACAGTTTGCTTCAAAATGCGAAAGATCTCGAAGCACAAGAAGATGTAGACAAAGTGCAGGATCACGGCTATGAACAGTTCCAATATGAAACTTGGATGAGCGTAGATGCGAACCGTGATCTTCTGAGCCATCATCCTCTCCGCGTTATACCAATGCTTTTCGAATCCCTCCATCATCGAAATTTTGCCTTTCACCACGGAATTTGCGCGCTTACAACATACAAACAAACTTTGACGGAATGGAAACCGTAATTTAATTGGATGTGTGTGAATTATTATTTTTTTTGATTTAAATGAATTTCTCACTTATGATAAACAATGACATTTTATTTAAATTATTTATTTTTGACGTTCATCCGCCACTTTGATAATAAATTTCGAATTTTATCCTGAATACGGCCCTGTCGTAACAATCATGGCCGATCCACCGCAAGGGATGGCCTACTCCATGGAAAACACCCGAATTGTATTTAATTATTTTTATTTATTTGTTTTTATAATCTACTCTGTTTAATTTTCTATTATTATTCTTTGTTTTGTTTCTCCCATCTTATTATAGTCCAGAATTTACAATGACCGGTTGAGTTCTGTAAATGCAATTGCTGGGAAAGCGCGCCTATTGTGCTACTTGCACGCTGCAATCAATAGCTAGCCGAAATAGCTCAGTTGGGAGAGCGTTAGACTGAAGATCTAAAGGTCCCTGGTTCGATCCCTGGTTTCGGCAATCACTTTTTTGTAGTCGTGTTCTTTCAATTATTTACAATTCGCACACTTTCCCATTATTTGTATCTATAATATTATAAACAACTTGTTTTGGTATTGCAATATTCGACAATTATAATAAATTATTAATCCAATAAGATTTCCCTATAACATTTGTTAATCATCCTTGTTTTTACAGGTATAATCCAAAATTTAGTAACATCTGCAAATTTTCCATAAACCATCAACTGGGACAGAGCTCACATTGTTATTTGTCTTTATTACTTATTCACAAAAATGTATTATATAATATTGAGGATACCAAATGTATTTAAGAAATTCTATGCGACTTTATTACTTAGTAAAAAAACTACTTAAGTATTCATTGAAACTTTGCAATTATCAATTTTTATTTACTTCTTTTATACACCTAGATTATTCATTATCTGTGATTATTAATAAACAATTTTGACTGTTATATTACGTACGTTATTTATTTACACACAACTATATTCCTTGAACTTACAAGAAATATTTTGTGAATCTTTGCCAAAATTCATACATTCATTTCTAAATTACTATTGTATAAAAAGTTATTTAACCATCAGGTCCCACCGAGATTTGAACTCGGATCGCTGGATTCAGAGTCCAGAGTGCTAACCATTACACCATGGGACCTATATAGGGGTAGTAAAAATTACCCCTGAAACAAGTGAATGTACCTAAATTCATCCCCTAAAAATTCATAACGTATATAAATTTAGTATAATTAAAAAGTGAGCAAATCAGACACTTTTTAAATAATGCACGTTGTATTGGTTTTATATTAAAGATTCAAATGAAATAAAATTTTCAATACTAATTTAATTATTCTTTTAACATAAATAGTTTAACATAATTAGTATTTTACGAAAAATTAACCAGAACTACTAATTTGGAATTAGTTTTTTAAGTTAGTTTCTTTTTATATTGTTGGTCATATGGTTGGTAATAGTTTGACAATTGGTTTACGAACGTTGTCGGCTACTATCGTCGTTTTTTTTCTATCACAATACGAACAAAAAGTAACGTTGAATCTATAACGGACAAAAGTTGTGAAAGTGATTCTTATATGTTTAAAAGTTGTAATTGTGAGTACATGAAAGTACGCAAGTAGAGTTTTACTGAATCCCTTAATTTTAGGCGCAGCAAGGAAAAATGGGGGATGTTGTAAAAAGCGTAATGAATTACATGAAACTGTACCAATTTGATTTGTGTTCCAATTACTTGAAGAAACAACAACCAATGCTCACCGATAAAGATGCCATTAATTTGTTGCTATGCTGTTATAAGGGGATTGAGAAGAACAAAATGCCCATGGAATACATTTTTGATTATTTAAAGTACTGCAATTTCGATAAAATTCAATTGGACATAGACACATTCTTCCAATGTTTATATCACATCTTAAATAATCTGGTCTGCAAAGTAAGTCTATTGAACTGTTAATAATTCAGTTAAAAAGAAACGATTAATTTCAGGGCTATTTGGAAGAACTAACTTCATTAAAACATATTCTGATTCCAGAATTCATTAAGACCAACTTAAATGAAGTTCAGAGAAAGTACTATAAAAGTACAATTAACTTGATCTTACAGCACTTAGTGAATGAGCTACAACAGAAAAAGAGTGTGTATCCCAAAAGCTTTTTGACCTTGTGCATTTTAACATTGGAGATGAAGTTTGCCAGCAATGCAGAAAATCCCTCGTATCTAGCAAATGAATTGGAAAACCATATAAAGTATTTGATAATTTCCAAGTTCAACCATTCAATAATCATTGATAAGTTTAATGAATTTGTCTCTCAGATACCTGACAAGTTTATACAATATAAGTCTGCTTTGTCATTGATTATACTTCTTTTGAAAAACTGCACAAGTGGTGCAGATAAACAAAAGCTGATTGCTGATTGTTTCAATACCATCAAGAAGACAGGTGATGAGACTTCAATTTTGCTAATCCAACTAGCAGGAAATATATTTACTAATGTAAGTAGTGATTTGGAACTGGATCTGAGGACAATGAATAATTTATTAAAAGGCTGTGATAAGAAGAATAAGTATATAGCTGAAGCTTGCCAGTACATAGCTTATATTTCATCATCAACAATGCAAATGGAGCTTCAGATTGAGCATGTCTGGAAAAGGAAAGTAACTAAGGACGTTGTTCTGCAATATTCTGAGTTTGCAAATCAAATGGAAATTATGTTATTGAATTCGAAGCATAAATGTTGCTGCGAGTTAAATTACAAAGCGCATGATGCAATATTCATTCTATTAGGTGTTGCTATTGGGAAGAAATTCGTGAATGATTCTGATATAATTAAACTAATACTAGATAATTTAAACCGGATCAACAGGCATCTCGTAAAACTGAAAGATAACAAATGCTGCAAATTCAAGCCAATTTGGCAAAAGTCTGTCACAGAGTATTACAACATTGCTATCAACATGCAACAGTATAAAGCAGACGAATGTGTGGATTATTTTAAAAGCCTATTTGAAAAGATGACTAACATAGAAGGAATCGGGGAGAAGGAAATCATTAAAAATGGATCGCTCAACATTTTGGAATTGTTCATAGACACGAGTAACAAGAAAGAGAATTACGATGTGGCTTACAAAGTTTCAGCGCTCAGTGTTTACCTCTTTCGCAGTGATCACTCGTTAATAAACTTTGTGAAATGCAAGTGCAAGTTGGATGACTCGATCAAAATAAAAAATATTGTTAATGTTCTGAAAGCCAACGAAGAGTTCTATCGAAGTTTCTATAAAGATTTTAAGAGTATTGACAGCAATCAAGATAAAATTGATATGTTGTTGTTGGAGATGAAGTGTTACTTGAAAATTTGGCCCAGTCGGAAAGCTTTAATCTGCGTGTTTAAAGAACTGTATTCATTGATGGATGCTGTTACATTTGTTGAGCACTTGACCGATCTTTCGATGGAATATCTCATTTACGAGGATCAAGAATTTTACAAGATTATCTGCGACTGCCTGGAATCAATTAAATCTGAGAAAAAGTGTAATTACTCGATTTCCTATTTGTATTTCTTTAAATTCCGGTACGAGAATATAGTGCAGATTTATAGCAACGAAAAGGAAATAGCTAAGATGAAAGATGTTGAACCTCTGGAGGCTCAACATCCGGCCGAAGAAGTGCTCCACGTTAATGATACCTGTGATATAGTGTCCTGTTACAACGACCTAAAAATAAGCAATTACTCCAAGGTTTTGAAATATTTACATATTTGTTTGGAATATCTGAAGAAAGCCGTGAAGCAACAGGAGGATGCGAAGGTGAGTTTCGTGTCGATTGCTAAGAACTTGGGTCACATGTTTAACTTGCACGGGTTCTCCTTGGAGGCCTTAAAAACCTGGCAACTGGCTTCAGAATTAGCGCAGAAAATGAAGCTTTACAACTTGTACACGGAAGTAGCTTCAGCGATGCTGTTCTATCTAGACGCGACGAGCAAACGATTTAAGGAAATAAACAAGACAATCAAAAGCTTTAATCCGGAAATTAGCAATGAAGTCGCGTGTTTCTATTATACTAATTTGGCGTTTTCTTATCTCAATAATGGCGATTTGGAGGAATGTCTGAAGGCTCACGAATTGGCGAACGAAAAGTATTGTTTGATACAGGATGTGCAGGATAAGACGACGGAATTGGCGGTAATCAAGATTTTATTCAATTTTCTAGAATCCCACATTTACCAGTTTCCTTGCGATTACAACATCTACAAGCACGGCAATTACGTGCAGATTAAACCGTTGACAACGTTCAAGTTGATGCACACCGATTTGAAGATGATCACGTACAATATGGAAATAACACCGCAATTCCTCACGCTCCTATTCGACATCACCGAGTACATAGTCTCAAATTTTAATAGACTCAGATTTCCCAGGGATTCCAGGTGTTACGGGCGAGAACTGGTTCAATTGGCGCAGAAAATGGTCGTCCCTTTTCGCACTGCTAGATTGTTGATTCTTTTAGCTAAAGCCGACTTGTTGACTTCGAGGTACAGCGATTGTCAGGTCAAGTTGAACGGAGTTTCGGATATTCTCGATTTGAAGAAGATTAAAGCAGAAACTCCTGATATAGTGGTTTGTAATGACGATAGTGGTGATAACTTGGAGATATCCGAGTATCCCATCAATCCAGCATCTCCTGTCCTTTACAAAGAATCGGTAATTAAACTAGCGTTTCTGAATCACGAGGATTGCAGTTGCATCCAATGCTGCAGCATTGAGTATCACGAATTGCTCTTAAAGAATATCCATTTAGAAGCGATGCTAAACGAACGGACCGGAAACATGCTGATATCTAAGAATTACTTCGACAATTTGAACGATGTTAAAACGAAAATACAACTCATCAATTCGAAACGAACGGACTCCTTCGGTTTTGAACTGAACGACAAAGTTAAAACGCTGCAGGACACTTTGGAGTTTATCGCCGTGGATCACATAAAATGGTCTTTGCGTAACGATTGCAACGCGAGTGCGGCGAAAGAGACGCTTTCGAAGATGCAAGAATCGAAGAACCATCACCTGAACAACGAAATCTACCACATACAGAATTCTCAGTTGATCAATTGGAACGTATACTTCGACAAGTTGAATATTATTAAGAGTTTGCCACTGATGAATTCGAACATCGGGTGCGCCCGAACGCCCGACAACAAGATTACCAAGATCAAATTCCCGAAGAGCGTGAGCCCCAGTAAGCCAGATTCTGTGCCGCACAACAAGAACATCAAGAAGACGTTGTTCGCTTTTGATCAGTTTTCGGTGCCGAAGACACCGTCTGCAAAATTCCAAATTTACACACCCAATATTAAGGAGAGCAAGAAGAAAGTCAAGTCGGAGACGAAGAGTGCCGCCAAAATTAAGATGCTTGCGGATAAAATGAAGAGTTCTCTGAAGGTCAATGATGAAAACGAGTTGGAAAGCAGCGAGAACGCCTCGTCCAGTCGACCTAGACGAAACGTGAGGAAGAATCTGCTGGATGAGATGTCTGGAACGCCGACGATTAAGACGACTACGGTAAACAGCAGAGAGGGTTTAAGACGTCTCGCTAAGAGGGAACGATAGCACTACTACTTCTTCATCCACTGATAAACATAAATATATTGTATAATAATTACTTAATTTTAAGAGTATTAAATATTATGAAATTAACATAACTTCAATTTCATTTCGTTCAAGATCTCAATTATTAACGAAATAATCTCTAAAAGCAACAGATACAAATTTATGTGATTGTTAATGGCTGTTCAAAGGAACTGTATTACTGGCTGATATTGTCATTAGTTTTATTGATACTTGTTTAATTCTGAAAAAAAAATATGTATATATATATAACGAACACTTTATTTTAACAATAATATACATTTTTATAGTAATTAATTTCTTCTTTATTTATACATTACATCATGGAAAAGTTGACAATATCAAAACTTTTTTAATTACTGAAATTAAGAATAAAAGGAACGTGAATTAGATCAATGTCAATTCTTAAAACATCTTCAATATTTTGTTAATGTACCAATAAATAGTAAAACAATGCCAATAAAGCTTTACTGCAGTATTAAAATAAAAATCGACAACTTTCTAGTAGACTTTCTTCTTTGTAATAAGCTCTCATCTAAAAAAGTGCACCTACCACCCACGTACATTTAGCTGCGTCTCACATGTGCTGAGATCTATGCAAAATCAGTGGCTCATGAGCTTCATGCTATGTATTTTTGTAATTCTGTACATCTTGTTTAAATTTTTCTGTACATTTGGTTGTCTATTACATCAAAGATTTACCGCCAAAAGTGGACGTCAAAAGTGGTCAAAATTGAAAACCAAAAAAACTGTTTAAAACGACAATGACATAACGTTAATAGAAGTTGAACGAAATTTAAATTACTCCTTTATTATGAATTGAATATTTAATCTATCGACTTGAAGCAACCACATTAATTGTAAGTACATTCAAAGACGTTAAACGAGACGAGAGAAGACCTAGGTTATGTCTTTTGTGGATACAACATTTTCAAATTGTTTTTCCAGATAATGAATATACAGTGCATTATATGCAGCGATCTATTTCTACCCTCATCTGAAATATATTCAACAAAATGTGGCCACATGTTTCACTATGTTTGTTTGGTGCAATGGATGGACAGGTATTTATAGACACACATACACAAAAAAAAACAATATAGAATTGTGATATTACATTTTCATATTTTGCAGGTCCAAAACTTGCCCTCAGTGCAGGCAAAAATGCACAGACAAATGTATACATCGTATATATGTAAATTTGCAGACAACAGAAGGGATTTCTGAAGATATTGGCACCTTGCAGAATAGAGTTGATAGTTTACAGTTTCAAGTGAAGCTCAAAGATCTGGATATTAAGAAGTATACAGAGCAAGCATCAAAGTACAAATCACAAAATGCTGGATTGAGGTGAGATATTTCTATTCTTTGTTTGTTGTATATCAATGCTATTTATTTTTTAGAAAGGAATTAACAGACTTGGAGAACAAAGTTCGAACATTAGAATCTGTGATAAGGGCACTTAAGGAACAGGTGCAGTTTTTCAAAGATAAATCAAGGGAAAATGATAGAGTCAATGATGAGATGTTGAGACTGAAGGAGAGGCTCAAAGCGATGGAAAATACTCAGGTGGCTTTGTATGGGAGCACGGATCAGGTGAATGAAATGTTGAGACATAACAACAATCCTGAATCACTTACCATCTTGGTTTCCACACTTAAAAGGTAAGATATTTGATATTGTTACGTTAAAACGTGTTTTAATACAATACATTGGTTTTTAGAGAGCTGCAGGAAACTGATAGAAACAGGAAAATAACGTTGAGTAAACTGCAAATGCTGCAGAAGACGCATCATCAGATTAAGAAGGAGAATGAGGCTTTGAAAAATAATAACAAAATCTTGGCGTAAGGTTTAGTAGAATGTTGTAAACTTATTTTATATAATAATGATGGTTTCAGATCCGATATTGAGGTGCATAAAAATTGCGAAAGCGAACGAAAGTATTTGAAAGGAAAGATATTGGAGTTGAAGAACAAAATTGATTTGAACAGGAGCGTATCTCATACACCGGATAGAAGTGTTCAAAGGATCATAGCCGAAAGTCCGGCGCCTCAGCAAATTAACTTGAACGATGCGGTTGACATAATAGATCTTAGCAATATTGAATCGCCAACTGTGGTGAGTATTGATATTATCATCAAGTGTAATATACATGCATCACACTTTTTTTTGTTTTTTTTTTTTACTAGAACGAACGAGTTAAACAAATCATGGATTCAGATTCGCCGTATTTGCCCGTAAAATCTAATACCGTCGGTCTGATGAATGCAAAGTTTTCTATTGCGAATGGACCGTCGACTAGTCAGAAACCCATCTCAGTACCTGCCAATAAGTTCTCAATATTCAAAGGGGGAATGCCAAAGACCGATACGCTCAAAGTTTCGAAACCAGAGTACAATTACAATGGGTTAGGTGGACACAGCAAAGAAGACATCTTCCCCAGTCCGATAAGAGCAAGCGTGCCATTGAAGCGAATCAAGTCAAACTCCATCATTTCAAGCAGCAAATTCAGAAAATTGAGTGCAAACAAAAAGGTTTAAGAACATATACACATCATTTTACATATTTAATTTATAATTTATTTACCAATAAATGCAATATTGCAATAGATAAGTCGATTTTTCTTTCCAATAATTTGTGAATTACATAAAAAAAAATACAACTAGGATAATAAAGAAATTGTTAAGGACTTGTTAGAAATGGGTTCAATGTTACTTACAGGCAAAGGACATGCAAATAAAACCACTAGCTAATTATTTTTTCATTTTTAATTTTAAAAAAAGTCCTACACAAGCGTCACATCTATTTCTTGGAGTCCTTGGCGGCTTTCCTGGCAATAGCGCGCTTGAGTTGTTGAGCGGGCTTCAGGTTGTGCTTCTTGCAGAACTTCTGGTTCTTCAAGAATTTAGCATCCATCTACAAACAAATACAATTAACATATTTTTCATAACGTACTTGCACGAAGTGTGTACTTACACCCAAGGTAGATTCGTGCCTGGAGCGCTTTGGCTTCTTGATTCCATTACGGTGATCCTTGCGGTCTAAAAACAACGAACGCACGCAAATTAGCAAACGAATATTATGCAATTGGTTTGTACTTACTTTGGTTGTGGGCTGTGTGATTCTTTGACTTGGCCATTATTTACTAGCTGAAAGTAAAGAACGAAGAGAGGTTAGAAAATTCGGACCCTGTCAACAAGTCGTATTATGGCGAAAAAGATAAAAATATGAAGGAATTCTGAGGACGAAGGGATGAAACGCTTCATGAAATATTATAAACTTACGTTTTCTACAACGATTACTCGAATAATAAAGGATATTTAGAAAAATCTTACCTTCGTGTATGTGTCACTAACAAAACACTTGAATGAAAGAATTTTAGATGTTTCGAATTGCTACCAACACAGCTCGTTCGCAACTAACTTCAAACTCATCTTGAGTTCACACCAAAAACAATAGGATTTAAATTTTAAAATCTCGTTCTAAAACACTACATTTACTTTTAAAACTTATTTAAACAAATTTTATATCATTCTTATTGGACTAATTGTTTAAAATCTGATATAATAACTTTAATTAAGTACAATGAATTGATACGATGGTAACTGATGGTAGTATTGCATAAGAACTTCAGTTCAATCCACAAAGATTTTGTACATGCTTGTGGATAATAAACAAACCAAAAATATTTGAAAAAATAAATGAATATCTCTTAAAACTGGAATTTGATTGTAGAAAGTTCGCTTAAAGATATACAACTTTCAGAGGCAATTCTTATGATGTTAACGTGTGAACTGTGATAGGAAAAGTCAATTAACCTTAAAGTAATCATTTTCAATGTTATTGGATCTTCATAAATGGCTGAGACTGCAGAATCTTCTACAAATGTTACCCTCATACAACCGTCAAACTTAGAATGTAAGAATCTGTATGATTATTTGAAGACACGATCATCAGCAGTATTAGAGAAACTATACAACCACCCAACTATATGTTTGGCTGTGTACAGGTAATTTTAAGTTTATCTTATATTAATTGTCAATAATAATTGTTAATAATTTTAGGGAATTGCCAGAATTGGGGAGACAATATGTAATCCGAATTTTATTTGTTGAGCAACCTGTGCCACAGGCAGTTGTGGCTTCATGGGGTTCACAGGCTTATTCTAAGTATGTTTATAAGTTACATAAAATTAGCAAGAATTTAATGTAAATTGCAATTTTAGGGAGCATGTGTATGTCAGTAAAGTATTAACTGAGCTCTCTGTGTGGCTGGAATCTCCAATTCCTGGAGGTCTTACTGGTTGGATTCTGAGTTCCACATTCAAAAGGAATCTCAAAATAGCTTTGCTGGGTGGGTGAGTTCTAGGCATATTATTTAATATGTTAGAATGAAGCTAGTTTGATAATTTTATCGTTTTAGAGGAAAACCATGGAGCATGTCATCAGCGTTGGAGGTGGACAGCAAAGCGAGAGATGTATCATTTCTAGATTCATATTCGATGGAGAGATGGGAGTGCGTTTTGCATTATATGGTTGGGTCGCAACAGCAGGAAGGCATTTCCGCGGATGCCGTGAGGATTTTAATACATGCAGGTTTAATGAAATGGTATGCTGCAAAAGCAATTGAAATTTGGATTGCTTATGATGACTAAATATTTGATTGATTGCAGTGATGATGTTGATGGTAGTTCTGTGATAACGCGTCAGGGATTTCAGTTTCTGTTGCTGGATCGGCAAGCTCAAGTGTGGCACTTTATCCTGCATTATTTGGATACTGTGGAAAATAAGGGACTCGATTTGGCTGAATGTTTGACTTTCCTTTTCCAATTAAGTTTCAGTACTCTGGGAAAGGTGATTTTCAAGTTAAAATGTTGTTACAATGATAGTAATGTAATGAATTTCAGGATTACAGTACTGAGGGTATGAGTAATGGTTTATTAGTGTTCCTGCAACATTTACGTGAATTCGGGCTTGTATATCAAAGAAAGGTTTGTTTTGCTTGAAATGTGATAAAAACTTTAATATAAGTTTGATTGTTGATTTCAGAGGAAGGCAGGTCGTTTCTATCCTACTAGATTAGCTTTGAATATCACGAGCAGCCAAAGCCAGGCGCTCTTGGAAGAGGACACTCCGAAAGGGTACATCGTTGTGGAGACGAATTATCGAGTATACGCTTATACAGATTCAAATCTTCAAGTTGCGTTACTTGGACTCTTCACCGAACTACTTTATAGGTGAAGTATCTTCTGCACAAGTTGAAGGTTTTTGTTTAACGTCTTGAATCGTTTCAGATTTCCGAATGTTATCGTTGGTATTTTAACCAGAGATTCTATAAGACAGGCTCTCAAGGGCGGTATAACAGCTGAACAAATTATCGGTTATCTTAAGCAACACGTGCATCCGCAAATGTTGAGAGGTGAAGCAAAACAGCCTTTACCGCCCACCGTAGTCGATCAAATTAAATTGTGGGAATTGGAACGAAACAGGTTGACCTATTCGGAAGGCGTCCTGTACGGACAATTTTTATCGCAGGTACGTAAAAGATAATTTAAACTTACTTGCCGAATAATTTGTATAAAAATGCATTTGAAATTCGTTATTCTCTTTTTGTTGTAGAACGATTTTAACGTATTGAGGGAATTCGCCCATACGAACGGTCATTTAATTTGGTGTAATCGCGACAAGAGAACGATGGTCGTAAGCAAGGCAGGACACGATGACGTGAAGAAATTTTGGAAAAGATACTCGAAGGCAAAGTAATTTAATGTTTGTGTGAAATGTTATTTGTACTGTCTAATAAATCAAAAACTTAATATATTTCTATAAACATCTATATATGTATTCTATTTGTTTAGCTCGTCACCACACAACCTTACCGAAGCATAGGTTTACCTTACAACGGTCTTCACATTTCAGTAACAACAATAGTTCTTAGAATTAGGGATGAAGTAAGAACGAAAAAAAAAACTACACGGCAAATGAGTTT